TGCACATTTAACGACGTGGAAGAAGAAACGAAGAAGAAGAAATAAAACTAGTATTGTCTTTGGTCCAAATCTGAAGCACTTTATAGCAATGTTAAACTGCTCTCGATGGTCATCATTCACAAACGGGATGTTTTCTGTTTAATGAAAGATTAATAGGCTATTTTAAAATGTCCCGCCATGGCCATTATTTTCTGTGTTACGATGTATGTGTTTACATTTGAAATATTAAAAAACTATTTCAGTCATTCTTGTGTGATTGTCCTGTTCCTGTCAGTGTGACATTTCAGAATTGAGTGGAGGTTTATTGATTCATTATTAAACAAATAAGTGTCAAAAAATGTTTTTTGGAGGGAAATAATGCTAAATATGCCTGAAATAGCATTGTGGATTGAACCAACAATTTATCCAGCATATGTTTTACACAGTGGACGCCCTTCCAGCTGCAACCCAGTACTGGGAATCACCCACACATTCTCATACACTACAGCCAATTTAGTTTCTTCAATTCACCAATAGCGCAGGTCTTTGGCAACCGGAGCACCTGAAGGAAACCCACGTCAAAACGAGGAGAACATGCAAACTCCACACAGAAACACCAACTGACCCGGCCAGCACTTGAACCAGCGACCTTCTTGCTGCTAACCTCTGAGCCACCCATATGGGAACTCATTTACTCATTTGTTAATTTTCTTTTTGGCTTAATCCCTTTTATTAATCTGGGGTCGCCACAACGGAATGAACCACCAACTTATACAGCATATGTTTTACGTAGCGGATGTCCTTCCAGCTGCAACCCATCACTGGGAAACATTTATACACATTCATTTAAACACACACCATGGTAAATTTTAGCACACCCAATTCACATGTACACACATCTTTAGACATGAGGGGTAAACCGTAGCACCCGGAGGAAACCCACGCGAACACGGAGAGAACTTGCAAACTCCACACAGAAAGGCCAACTGACCCAGCCGAGGCTCGAATAAGCGGCCTTTTTGCTACCCACTGCGCCACCAGGTCGCCCATATAGAAACTGACATTCGTTGTTTATTTACTTTTGAAGTCAACATTCAAAAGTCTTTTAATAACCAGCAGTAAATCTCTCAGGATTTTCCTGATTAGTATTCTAACAATGAGTAAAATTAGTTAAACAATTGGTTAAAGGGGGAATGTTGAAGTCCCCCAAGTACAAAGATCTGTCAGAGGCTTTAATTAAGCTCAAATCAATTTAATGAATGAAATTAAGCATACATGTATGGAGTGATAGGTTAAGCACATGGTTGAGCAATGCATGCAAAGGTCAAAATTCCTTCAGGGTTCGTCCTGTTGAACACAGATGTGCGGACAAATGTTGGGGGAAAGCAGTATAAATCGTTCCTACTATAGATATCAATTGATGATTTTGTTCACCACCCTGCTAAAAAAATCCAGCTTAAACAAGCCTAGGCTGGTTGGCCGGTTTTAGCTGGTCGACCAGCCTGGTTTTAGAGGGGTTTTGGCTTCTTCCAGGCTGGTTTCCAGCCATTTCCAGCCTGGTCTTAGCTGGTCAGTCTGGGAGATGACCAGCTTAAACCAGCTTGACCAGCCTAGCCAAGCTGGGAGTCCAGCCAAAACCAGCTATGTCCAGCTTATATCAGGCTGGTCAAGCTGGTTTTATTTGGATTTGGCAGGTCGTTTTCCACCAGCTTGGAAATGGCCAAAACACCAGGCTGGTCAACCAGCTAAAAACAGCCAACCAGCCTAGGCTGGTTTAAGCTGGATTTTTTAGCAGGGCAGTCTTCAGAAAATCTTGTTCTGTGTTCACAGAAAGAAATCCTCGAGTGGTTTATAACCACTCTAGTGTGAAAATAATGCTGAGGACATTTATATTTTAGGTGAACTCGTTACTCAATTCAATAAAATGAAAGCACAAATATGACTCATTATGCCAAGTTATCCTTGTTTTATGAGTCTTGTCATGTTCGGGCACACGTTTACACAGCGGGGATGTAGCTCAGTGGTAGAGCGCATGCTTTGCATGTATGAGGCCCCGGGTTCAATCCCCGGCATCTCCACTTTAGTTTCTCCGACCGATAGTTTATCTTGAACACTTTGTCATTTCCGCCATACAGGAAAACGAAAACACAACCAATTATGGCTGATCTTATAATTAAAAACACACTACAGCATAATCCACCTGCGGTCAAGTATTTCAATATTGAAGTGTGCACCTGCCACCTCCTCAGGGCCATAAAGAGGTGGTTGACGTAAAAAGTTTTCTGCACTATTATTATTGTGCAAAGACGCATGAAATTAGCTCGTTACATACACGTTATCAATCTGAGTTAGCCTTTTTGTTATGCAAATAAAATAAACATTAAATTTATTTCAATAATTTTTGTGCTATCAGGAAATTGTATTCTGGAAAATGACTTGAATTATATTGAAACATAATTTTTACGTTTGCTCCTAAATTGTTATGTAACTTTGCACATTTATATTTCTCAACCTTTTGATGTTTTCCGTATGTTATTTGTAAAAGTAATATTTATTTAATAATAATAATAAAAAAATAGGTCTAAGAATTCTGTTTGAACCTGAATTTTTTTTTTTTATAAAACAGTCAAAACCGATTTTTGAAAAAGTGTCAAAATAAATGTATATATTTCTTTTAAAGTCTGTGGCTGCAAACAACTTTATTTGATTGCTATTAATATTTGGTAGGTGTGTGAACCTGCAGCAGTGTTTTGTCTAATATTTTCAGCGGGGATGTAGCTCAGTGGTAGAGCGCATGCTTTGCATGTATGAGGCCCCGGGTTCAATCCCCGGCATCTCCACTTTAGTCTATTGAACAACGAATTTGTCTTGTAATGCTGTTTAATCTGTGCCTACAACTATTACTGAGAGTTGTGTAACACTGTTTCAAGCAGTGTTTTTCTCTGCACCAAAACTTTATTGAACCTCCATACTGAAGCCGTAAAATGGTTGCGTACACTAAAGACTTTTAACATTATTCTTTCCGCCAGATTGTGCTAACGTCAAAGAAAACGAGCCCATTAATGGTAATGAATCTCTCTTATACTGTCTAATAAAATGCAAAATTCATGTTTACACTGTTGCAGAATGTGCTCTATTGTAAAACTAATACTATTTTAACTACAAATCCCTCAAATTCATTTGCATATTCCCATAAGGTTCTTCAGCTCATTTTATGTTTGGACCTGAATCATTTTTATTTTTTTTATAAAACACCTAATACATTTATCATGATTAAATATTTGATAAGCAGTTTCCGTTGACGAGTAAACTTTAGCATATTCACTTCTTTTTGATTATTTTAAACACAATTGTAACTGTTTTTTAATTAGCACTTTAACAACATCAAAACAACAAATATTACCGAAAAGTATTAAAACTAATCAAATCAATTTTATGTAAGCTTAGTCCCTTTAATAATCCGGGGTCTCCACAGCGGAATGACCCGCCAACTTATCCAGCATATGTTTTACTCAGCGGATGTTCTTTTAGCTGCAACCCATCACTGGGAAACATCATGTCTTTGGACTTGTGGGGGAAACCGGAGCACCCTTTTTGCTGTGTGGGGACAGCCCACACAGCGGCCCACCAGATTTTTTTTAAATGCCAGAATGACTAAAATGTTAAAATAATTATGTGAATTATCAATATCTTCACTAGAAATGTGTAAATGTATTATGAGAGTTAATGTTGCCCCACAGGCACTATGACATAATTGATGAACGGTGTTTACATTTTTTTATGGTTCCAACCAGGAGCGGATTGGTCATCTGGCAATTATGGCAGATGGCCAGAATTGGCTTTAATGTGGGCCGGTCAGTTTTTTAAATTAATTTATTTTTTTTGTATGTATTGTTTTTACATGCAGGCAGCTTTTTAGTTTTTGCAATTTGTTTATATCATGATGATGATAGCAGTAATAATAACAACAATAATAATAATAAATGTTAAGCATTTGGCTCAAGCTGCAACAGTCAGCTGGTTTTAAAATGGGCCGACCCAATCAGACCTAATCAAAGGTTTTGTGGACGTGATCAAAATCTGGCAAGAATGTCAAACAAACAATAAGTGCAACACAAGCTAATAGTCAGAGATGGACCATAAAAAAGGAAAGGCGGTGCATGAAATTAAATGTAATATTCTTAAAAAGTGGGAGTGCGGTGGCACAGTGGGTAGAGCAGTCCCCTCACAGCAAGAAGGTCGCTGGTTCGAGCCTGGGCTGGGTCAGTTGGCGTTGCTGTGTGGAGTTTGCATGTTTTCCAACCAACATATCTTGATCGTTGGTAATGTTTATCGTATGTTTGAACCACCACCATTGTTTCTTGAGCTTAGTTCTAGGGGGGATGTAGCTCAGTGGTAGAGCGCATGCTTTGCATGTATGAGGCCCCGGGTTCAATCCCCGGCATCTCCAATTTATTCCATTTAATTTCACTGCAGATTAGTCTAAAAATTTGTTTAGGATCTTCTCAAACAAACATTCAAATCTCTGTAACACTTAAAAATTACGGTTTCAAGCTGAGAACTCTATCGTTTGTGAAGCCCTGCCGGAACTTCCACGTTGAAGCCGAAAAACGGTCGCGAACCAGTTTATTGTTCTTTCCGCCAGATGGCGCTAAAGTCAAAGAAAACGAGCCCACTCACGGGAACGAATTGATTTGTTCGCTCGGCTCGAGTCAATGAATCTCTTCAAGGCTCTATGCGCAAATGTTTTCGCGGCATTTTAAAGAATTAAATACCCATAACACCAAGTTCATGTTTATTCGACATCCCGTGTGGTTGAATGTGATTCAGCCACAATGATTAATTATTTAAAATGTGCAAATCGCCAAATAAATTCGCATGTTTGTCTTTTCCGATCTCAGCTTTAGTTCACAGAAATAGAAATAGCACTCCTGGGTTTGTCATTCAAAGTGAATCATATTAACTGAATCACTTCAAATGAATCGCATTCCAAAGAGCCGAATATGTTTCGCGAATCAAACCTGACCAATTCAATGACATTACTAGTATATGCCACGCGTGTGCGGTGTGCCTGATCTTAAATTAATCTCTCATCAGGTATGAACAATCTGACTTCTTCAACTCTTGACAATGTATGTTACTCTGGGGGGTGACATATTTGCAGACATTTCGATGGTCTCCGGTGTGACAGAGGAAAAGGAGGAGCAGAAACGCGCTGCTCCGCCTTCACATTATCGCGGAGTTCTCAAAGGAGAATTACAGCACCTCAGATCCTGAAAAACACATCCTCATTATCCATTTAGAGACATTAGCGGCTTCAGTCTGATTTATATTCCCGCGCGGCTGCTGAAGAGGACGTGTGTTTGTTTACGACGCCATTTTTAAAGTATTTATTTACCGCGGTGCAACTTTTACACTCATTCCTCCGAAACAGCAGCAGGACAACTGGCGACTCCCTAATTTTGTAGTTTTTTTTAGATGTGTTTGTGATTCTCATCAGCTCAGGAATTATGGGATGCTGCGGCAGCACACAGGTAAGAAACACAACATGGTGTAAATGCCTGCACATTCACAAACGGAAACTTTTTTTAACACTTAAACAAGCGCGTGCAGAGTGCAAACGTAAGGTTAAACTCTCATAATCCGATCATTCAGATACAATTAAGAGTCTTTCAAAATTGAGGTTTATTCCAGAGAACGTTTGTAAATTATATGAGGTATCCTAAAAATGCATATAACCTAAAATATTACAAAAACGAGGTCAGGGTTTTGTTTGTCAACATTGTGAAGCTCATTTCCGGGTTTTACTGAAAACGAGGCCAGGTGTGAGACACTCCTATTCGTTTACCACCACGCTTCATGCTTTTAAAAGACTTTTTATGTTGACAGTTCACCCGAAAATGACGTTTTACTCACTTTCAAGTGGTTATCAACCGTTATGAGTGTCTTTCATCTGTTGAACACAAAAGAAGATGATATAAAACCGATAGCTATTAATTTACATAGTAAGAAAGACAAATACTATGGAGGTCAATGGTTACAGGTTTTCAGCTTTCTTTGAAATATTTTTTTGTGTCAACAAAAGAAAGAAACTCAAACAGTTTTTAAACAAGTAAATGGAGATATAAATATAGTAAATAAGGACCACGGTGTCGCTCTATATATCAATGTTACTCCCTTCTTTATCAGGGGTTGCCTTAGTGGAAGGAACCACCAATTACTTTGGCATATTTTTTTTATGCGGCGGACGTAATTTCATCTGCATCCGTATTAATCGTAGTAGGGCCAGACAGAATCTGCAGACATCTTTTGCCATTTCTGGGAGTATTGTAACTAAAACTTAATATATGAAATAAACAATAATTCATTTGTAACTTTTATTTAATGTTAACAATGCAAATCCATCTAGATCCACTTATTTGGTAATTAAAGCAAGTCTCTTATATAATATATCTACTAAAAACTGAAAAAAATACTAAATGTTCTGTAAATAAATCTAATGAACATTTTCATATTATTCATTAATGTGACTGATTTCTATCAATTTCAGACGTTTTAATAACTTGGTTAAGTGTATTCAAATGTTGTATGATCACTTCTTATTTTGTATATTTCAAGTGTGCTGAACAAAACTTTTTTTTTTTTTTTGAAAAATGGTAAAGTTTTCTATGAAATTAATATTTATTTACTCACCATTTAATCGCCCTTAAGTAATTCTAAACCTTTACAAGTTTCTTGTTATTTATTTATTTTTAAACACAAACAAAGATATTTTGAAGAATGTTGGAAACCAGTAACCAAAGATATTGCATAATAAGAGAAAATACTCTGGCTTACAGGAAAGTATAAAGATTTAAAATGACAATGGCTGACTATTGAACAAATATGGCTGCTATTTCTGTCTGTAAGTCTGCTTAAAGACCTATCATTTTTCTCTCTGTTTTAATACTCTGATCACTGCTTCTATTATGACGTTTATTGATGAAATCTGATAGTCTTGTAGATTGTTTAATTCTCATTCTCTGCTCTGTGTTTTACTTGTATGTCTCAATACTTATATGTCCAGCAGCTTTGGTTGTTTTTAAATAGATAAATACTTTATAAATAGATAATTAAAAAGGTCAGTTTATGAGGGCCAAACTGTGATCATTGATTTTAATCAAGTGTTTAATCATCTTTTCTTTGACTCTTGTGATCTGCACTACAGAAGGAACGCGACTGGAAGCCTTTAGAGCAGAGAAGGTGCACAGATATACCATGGCTGCTGCTCTTCATCCTCTTCAATATCGGCATGGTAAGAGAATAGATTATCATCAGTGGCTTAAATAAAGGTAAAATAAAACCCAACATTTCTATATTTAAAATTACAATTACAAACATGAGAAAATAGCTTAGTATTGTACTGCTTGTGGTGATCATCATGGTTTTGTGTTTGTATGGCAGCTCTGCATCTGTGGTTTCGCTATCGCGACAGGAGCTGCTACCAGACTCGTATCAGGGTACGACAGCTACGGCAACACCTGCGGTCAGAAAAATGCCCAAATCCCAGGCATCGAACACAGCGGACTGGACCACAGCAACAGAAAGTGAGTCAAAACAAGCAATGAGCAAACATGATGCTATCGAATGAAAGAAATACTTTTTGCAATATTAGCAGTTTTTATTCTATAATTTTATTCATTTTAAACTTACTTAATGGGTCTGTATGATATATGAGTTGAGCATCGATATGTGCAATGTGGAGTCAGGATTATAGCTGAGCAGGCACAACAGTTCCAATGAGAATTTTGGAGTCATTTCAGTTTAACCATAATAAAGTAAAAGTTTAGCAATTAAAATGTTAACACAGGCCTTAAAAACCAAAACAGGTTTTTAAGGCCTGTGTTAACATTTTAAGTGAGCTTAAAGCATTCAAGCACAAGGAGTCATTGGGTATGTAGCTTTAACAAAGATTAATTGCATTCAATTATTTACACATTGATGAAATTACAGCTTAATTGTACATTTGATTATTTTATTTCTGTACCTGTAAACTCTTAGACTTCTCCATTTGTATATTTGCTGTATTTATCTCTGCTTGTAATTTGTCTGTTATATTGTATTCACTCCCCTACCAAGTCATCCCAATCAGTTTGAAATTAACAATTAATTTAGGTTCTCTTGTTAAAAACTGCAATATAAATAGCAGAAATTGTAAATATCGCAATGTGCATTTTTTTTTCCAATATTGTGCAGCCCTTTTATGTAATCTACAATCTAAAATAATGGTACAAAAACTGTCACGAGGGTGGACAGAACATTTGTTTACTTTTTATTTTCTAATATGTACACTTTAGGTGCTAATATATTATATATATTATTAATATAATATAATTAATATATATAATTAATATAATTGGTATCTTAATATACTATTAAGATACCAATCTGGATTTATTCGATAGAAAACTACAAAAAACAAAAAAAACATGGAAAGTTATTGCATAACCATTTCATTTGCTACAAATTTTGTCATTTTGCTCACATGGCTGATAATTAAATAATAATCAGATGATTTGATTATCATTATTTACATTATGTCATAACATAATTTCATTACATTATTATCATCACTGCGTTCATGATCTCGGTTTTGAGGATGGAAAGATCTGCCCTTTACAATAAACACAAGCACACATGCAGTAATCTTCAATCATTAATTGACATTGATATTGTAATCTAATTCACAAACTTCATTGAAGAATAAGATTTGCCAGAGATTAGCCAGTTATCACAAATAATAGATCCACGATATCTGCCAAATCATCTTTAATAATTTAAACCAGGTAGAGCAGACCCCACTAAAAACATTTTTTATTCAACAAAGGCCAGATTAACATATGAAAATGCATATATTTTAAAACATTAACCCTATTAATACAATTTCTATGCTTCTCTGAGTTGATTTATACTGTCAAATACAGCATTTAAAATAAATACAGCATTTAAATTAATTATAAGTTACTATAATTGAATGATCTAACAATTAAAAGTAACTAATTTTTTCAGTGGAAAATAATTTAATTACAGTAACTCGTTACTTTGTAACTAATTACACCCAATGCTGATTGTGACAACCTGAATATTCTTCGAAAGCACTGTTAAAGTTCAAAATAATAAATTAATATTCACAGTATTTTAAATTGACCACAATAGCAATATCACGCATGTTCGTTATCACAATATATAATATTATCGATTATCAGGCTTTAAAAAAGTGCTTTTATATCTTATCCTTTAAGTCTCATCTATGAGAAATTGAATCTTGTGTGTTTAATCTTGCTGTGTTTGTTATTGTCTTTGTTTACTTCTGACTGTACAAGTTATGGCAGTAGAAACGTACGATATATGAAAACAGACCAGTGTCTAATGCTAATAAATCAATGTCTTATTAAACTAACACAGGTGTAGAACAATAACAACACAACTGAGAATAACTTCACACCCACAGGTGGTGAATGACCCATTTCTCAATGGTTTTTCCTCACAGGTATGTGTTTTTCCTGGACCCCTGCAAAATTGACATTGCTAAGAGAAAGATTAAATCTGTGGCTTTATGTGTGTCGAAGTGTCCAAAGGTTCAGCTGGACACGTATGAGGACCTCACCAAGTTCGCCACAGTTAACGGTGAGCTGAATGAACATGAATATACACAAATCTGCATAATGACATGGGGATGACAGGTATTACAAGAAGGTGGTGAATTATAAAAAATGTTGCTGATGTCCTCGTTTCTCAATAAGTTTAAAAACACATAAGAATGAGCTATATTCAGAAGGTCACAGTTTCCTATTAGGGTTGGGCTTAGGGGTAGTGTGGGGTTAGGGCAGGAGAAAATACAGTTTGTACAGTATACAAACTATGGAAACCTATGATGTAATGTCCCCACAATTCACACAAACAAACGTGTGTGTATCAATTATTTTAATCATCAAATCATAAGTTATAAATGGTGTGTTTTTGTAAAATTGAGATTTAAACCTGATTTGTGTCTTGTTATTATAGGACAGTATTTGTTTGAGAGTCAACGTTTTAAAAATCTGGAGTCTCAGAGTTAAAAAAAAAATTTAATACTGAGAAAATTCCTGTTTAAATTTGAAAAACATATAAAGAAATAAAATTAAGATTCCTAAAAAAAATTTAAGATTAATTAAACACTAATCTGAGCAATGCAAATAACCTTTATTATTAGTAATATGCATTGCTCAGCACTTAATTGTTAATTAGTATTGATTTATTTACGGCGGCATGGTGGCTCAGTGGTTAGGATTGTTGCCTCACAGCAAGAAGGTCGCTGGTTCGGGTCCCAACTGGTTCAGTTGGCATTACAGTGTGGAGTTTGCATGTTCTCCCTGAGTTGGCATGGGTGTATGTAGTGTACGAGTGTATGAGTGTGTATGAGTGTGTGTTTGAATGTGAGTGTGTATGGATGTTTCCCAGTACTGGGTTGTGACTGGAAGGGCATCTGCTGCGTAAAACATATGCTGGAATAGTTGGTGGTTCATTCCGCTGTGGCGAAAATAAATGAATAAATGGTTTATTTATAATTAGAATTGTACAAAATCTCTTCATGAAATGTGATGTTTACTTAATATTGTAATGATTTTTGGCCTAAAGGAGAAATGCATCATTTAAACCCATAGTGTGTTTTTTGGCTATTTCCACAAATACACCCGAGCGACTGAAGACTGGTTTTGTGGTCCAGAGTCATAAATGATGATCTCTTGCTAATAATGTTTTGTTGTTTGTAGGATCTGCTTTATGCACCTATGATGTACAGCCGGAGGCTTATTCGTCTAATCCTAATAAAGATGTGAAATGTCCAAAACTTCCTGTTTTTCCGAGGTAAGTTTCTGATGCTTGAGTTTATTTTTGTTGACTAAAATAGACCAAATTATATTTTAGTGGGATAACAGTACTGTTTAGATTTTTGTGGTAGGATAAAAACATGTACAGTTGAAGTCAGAAATATTTGCCCTCCTTTGAATATATATATATATATATATATATATATATATATATATATATATATATATATATATATATATTTACCAAATGAGGTTTAACCGAGCAAGGAAATTTTCACAGTGTGTCTGATACTATTTTTTCTTCTGGAGAAAGTCTTATTTGTTTTATTACAACTAGAATAAAAGCTGTTTTTAATTTTTAAAACCATTTTAAGGATAAAAATTATCAGCCCTTTAAAACTATAATTTTTTTTCCGATAGTCTCCAGAACAAACCATCATTATACAATAACTTGCCTAATTACCCTAACCTGCCTAGTTAACCTAATTAACCTAGTTAAGCCTTTAAATGTCTCTTTAAGCTGTATAAATGTGTCTTGAAAAATATCTACTAAAATATTATTTTTTGTCATCATAGAAAAGATAAAATAAATCAGTTATTAGAGATGAGTTTCTATTATGTTTAGAAATGTGCTGAAAAAAAATCTTCTCTCTGTTAAACAGAAATAGGGAAAAAAATAAGCAGGGGGGCTAAGAATTCTGACTTTAACTGTATATGTGTGAAACATTTCACCTGTTGTTTGCAAATAAAGAAAATGCTCTTTGTTTTGTTGTGAAAATGCACATATTTTTTCTTTTGTTTGTCAGTGCGTCTCTGCCGGTGTTTCACCGCTGTATGCCGGTCGACATCTCGTGTTTTGCTACCTTTGCGAAGGCCTTCATCACGTTCGTCAGTGATAACAGTGTGCTCCATCGGGTCATTGCTGGAGTCATGATGGCTAAAGAGATCATCATGGGCCTCTGTCTGCTCGCCCTTGGTAAACACAGTCACTTTGTTTTATTAATATCAATTATTTATTACATTATGATTCATGCATTCATAAATAGATACATGCACGTAAAACTAAATACAAGCAGATGCCATGAAAAAGTCCACTTATACAAAATAATAAAAATCATATATATACAGTTAACTAGAAATCAGATATACTGTAAGTGATAGGAATTATCATTTTCAAATAATTACTATGTGCTGATATTTTTTTTTCTCAACAAATTTCTAAAAATAATTGTTTTATTAACTCATTTTTTTTGTTTGCCATGATGACAGTATATATGTCTTACTAGTTATTTTGCGAGATGCTAGTATTCAATTTAAAGTGCAATTTAAAGGCTTAACTATGTTAATTAGGATAACTAGGCAAGTTAATACATAACAGTTTGTTTTGTAGACAATTAAAAATATATTGAGGGGCGAATAATATTGACATTAGCAGTTTTTACTTTTTTTTTTTTTCTTTTTTTTTTTATTCTGGCCAGACTAAAACAAAAAAAGACTCTAGAATAAAACTATTATAGGAAATAATGTGAAATTTTTTTTCTTGCTCTGTTAAACATAGTTTGGGAAATATATTGCATGTTGCCTGATTTGCATCACCATTATGTCACTATTATTAGCATTATTTTATTCTTCTGTTTAATTTAAGTTTGTTTTAGTAATTTGATCCAAATGATCTGTATAGGATTTATTCATTTGTATTTGAGTTTGTTTCAGTGTAATGTAGGCAGTTTATTTGTCCATTTTAGCCTTTTTTATGTTCTTGTCAAGCTGAAATAGTTTTTCTGATCATTGCATTCATTTTATATTTTTTGTACTACATTTTTAATAATATAGTCTTCATTAATTTTCATTTGTTAATTAGTTGACAATTTGCAAGAAAACTAAATTTGTAGTAGAAATGTTTTGTTGACAAGTAGCTAAATTAAACTAATTGTAATCACTTTTTTATTCCTATTAGTAATTTTTAAAATGCTTTTACTTATTAATAACTCAGATTTGCATAGGTTGGAATATAAAGTGTGATTTATGAAGTGTTTTCGTGTGTTCAGTTCTGTCCCTGATCCTGATGGTGGTGATCCGCTATATATCTGTGCTTCTGGTCTGGATTCTCACAGCAGTGGTGGTGATTGGCTCAGTGGGTGAGTCTGAACATATTCTCACATATCCTCAGCTGGGTTTAGTGATATTCTAATAGATGCAAATTTTTGTGCGATATATGCAAATTTCTAATTTAATTGTACATTTTGGTGCATTTGCATGTGTTCGCGTAATTGATATTAAGTGTAAATTGTGTTTCTTCTGTAATAATTCCCACTTGTTGCAAAGACAAAAAAGATATTCTATTCTATTGTATTCTATTCTATTCTATTGTATTGTATCCTATTCTAAAAGAACAGTTCCCCCAAAAAGGTTAATTCTGTCATCATTCCTTTCTATTCTATTTAGACTATTCTATTCTATTAGACCATTATCATTGGTCTGTTGTAAAAAAAAAATATATGAGTGAAAAAGAAGAGAGAACCCAGTCCAGGAGACTCGAAACAAGCAGAATTCCTTTATTGAGACGTGTTGGTTAATCTGCAGTCATACAGCGTCTTCAAGGTGTCCAATGTGTCTGCAAGAGCCTACTAGAGGTCCGCAGTCTGCAAGTTCTTTCACGAGTCTCTCACAAGTCTGCAAATAGTCTGAATTAGTCTAAGATTTCATGTCTATATTGTGTTCTTAGGAGGAGGGGATTTGGCTAAACAGAGCATGCAAATTAAGAGTTGGAGTCAGCATGGTAAACTGCTCTTTCAGGCTTTGATCTCATCATGTTCTGGAGACAGAAACCGCCTGACCATTTGATCGAAAAGAGAAAACAATAGACACCCCATGCTGTGAAACTGGTAATTGCATCACTTTGGCTTAGTCTGTAGTCAGCAAGGGAAAAGTTAAATGACCCTCCTAGCTGGCATGTCAATGAAATAAAATAATTAAAAACCAGAGAATATAACTTTTTAGTTATACGTAGATTATTGTTCATTTGAAATTAGATGATATAAATTTATATTTCCACAGGTCCATAACCAATTTTTGCTTATCAAACTATTTCATAACTAACAAGAGGCAGTTTAATCATAACTTAATGTTAAAACAGCTGTCATAACAATATTTATACATAATATGTGGCTCTTTTTGGATTCTCAGAAGCTATAGAAATTAAAAATGTAAAAACAGGAATACATTGTTTTTGTTTAAATCCCTCCAAATGGTCTATTCCAGTGGTTCTCAAACTGTGGTACGTGTACCAATAGTGGTACGCAGGCTTCCTTCTAGTGGTACGCGGAAGAATGAAATATGTCATGTACATGCTACACACATTTCAAAATTTATCAAAAATTATGATTTTAATATGTCATATATGACATATAGCCTATATTTCTGATGTAATCTGCCACGTTTTTTAATTGTGTAGAGTTGTAGCTGCTTTACTGGGCGTACTGCGCTACTGTACTTCAATACTTCTCATTTTGGTGGTACTTGGAGAGACAATTTTTTTCTGAGGTGGTACTTGATGAAAAACGTTTGAGAACCACTGGTCTATTCTATTGTATTCTATTCTATTCTATTCTATATTATTCTATTATATTCTATTCTATTCTATACTAAAGGAACAGTTCACCCAAAAAGGAACATTTTGTCATCATTCTATTCCATTTATTACTAGGCCTATCACAATAATCAATACATTGACTTCTTGTGCAATACTTGGAGATGACCTCAATATTTTTTTGCCATTGCAATATATATTTTCAAATTCACAAATAACGTTAATGCTATTTTACAATCACATTTACTTTCTACCTCACCGGTGTCAAAGTGTATAATTGGACATTTACTTAATAAGGTACTTAATTGTGTAAATATAACAGGACATTTAGGTTTTAACATCAACTTATAGAATCTAAATATACTACTATAAATATCCACATTTTCCCAGGGATGGGTTGCCGCTGGAAGAGCATCCGCTGTATAAAAACGTGCTGGATAAGTTGGCGGTTCATTCCGCTGTGGCGACCCCGGATTAGTAAACGCACTAAGCTGAAAAGAAAATGAATGAATGAATGAATGAAATATCTACATCTTAAAAATTGCACTGTATTTACTTGTTCCAAATCACTGTTGAATTTAAAAGAAGACATTTTGATAAATGTTGGAAACCTGCAACCGTTGACTTTATTATTCAGAAAAACAAAACAACATTACGGAAGTCAACAGTTACTGGTTTCCAACATTAGATCAGAGGTGCTCAAACTCCGTCCTGGGAATCCTACAGATTTTAGTACCAGCCTAGTAAAAGCTTAATAAGCTAGCCCAGGTGTGTCTGATTGGGGTAAGAGCTTATATCTGCAGGACACCGACCTCCAGGACCGAGATTGTGAAACTGCTCTAGATGATGATTGTTGCGTGTACTCTCTCTTTAAGTGAGGCTCCTGTGTGTTTGTCAGGTGGTTGCGGGATCCTCTGGTGGCTGTATGTGGATCAGGGGAAAGCTCTGAACGCCACAATGCCGGCTCATGATCTGGAGATTGCCCATGACAATCAGCAGGCCCTGCTCATCTACGCCATAGGAGCCACCATCTTTACTGTACGTCTGCAAACACTCACTGCTACAGAACTATTCGACTACAGCGGAAGTCAGAATTATTAACCCCCTACTGTATATTTTTCCCCAATTTCTGTTTAATGGAAAGAGGATTTTTGTTTTCAACACATTTCTAAACATAATAGTTTTAATAACCGATTTATTTTATCTTTGTCATGATGACAGTAAATAATATTTGACTAGATATCTGTCAAGATACTAGTATTCAGCTTAAAGTGACATTTAAAGGCTTAAATAGGGCAATTAGGCAAGTCCTTGTATAATGATGGATGTTATTTAGACAATCAAAACCAATCTTGATGAAAGGGACTAACAAATTTTGACCTTAAAATGGCTTTTAAAATTTTAAAACTGCTTTTATTCCAGCCGAAATAAAACAAATAAGACTTTCTCCGGAAGAAAAAATACTGTTTATAATACTGTGAAAATGTCCTTGCTCTGTTTAACATCATTTTTTTTTGCATGTGTATGTTTTGGTTTGTGATACGTGTCTCAGGTCCTTTTGCTGCTGCTGATGTTCTTCATGAGGAAGCGTGTGGCTCTCACCATCGCTCTATTCCATGTAGCTGGTAAAGTGTTCACTCATCTGCCTCTGCTGGCGCTGCAGCCCTTCTGGACCTTCCTCACACTCATGCTCTTCTGGGTCTACTGGATCTCTGTGCTGCTCTGCCTCGGCACCGCAGGTCTGATCTTAAACTCAAATTTTATCTGTCTCATACAGTGTCAGGCATAGTATGATATGCAGTGAAACGCTTACACAACCACTCGGGACCTTGAAATAGTAACAACAATAACAAAATATTATTATTAGAATCTAAACTATGAAGAAATACAAGTTATGCTTATGCTTTTAAATTCATGTTTTTTATAGGAAGCTGTACAATATTATATTTGTGCATATACAGTTGAAGTCAGAATTATTAGCCCTCTTTAAATTTTTTTCTTTTTTTTTATATTTTCCAAATTATGTGTAACAGAGCAAGGAAATTTTCACTGTGTGTCCGATCATATTTTTTCTTCTGGAGAAAGTCTTGTTTGTTTTATTTCAGCTAGAATAAAAGTCACTATTAATTTTTTAAACACCATTTTAGGGACAAAATTATTAGCCCCTTTAAGCTTTTTTTATTTCCCGATAGTCTACAGAACAAACCATGGTTATACAATAACTTGCCTAATTACCCTAACCTGCCTAGTTAACCTAATTAACCTAGTTAAGCCTTTAAATGTCACTTTAAGCTGTATAGAAGTGCCTTGAAGAATATCTAGTAAAATATTATTTACTGTCATCATGGCAAAGTAAAAATAAATCAGTTATTAGAAATGAGTTATTAAAATTATTAGGTTTAGAAATGTGCTGAACAAATCTTCTCTCCATTAAACAGAAATTGGGAAAAAATAAACAAGCGGTCTAATAATTCAGGGGGGCTAATAATTCTGACTTCAACTGTACATTAGATTAGTCAGTACTGAAGCCAAATCTGGAGCTCATCTAACAAAATAACTTACGATAATAATCCAAAAAATATTACAGCCAAATTTATGTTAGAGAAAAATATTAAATGCAAATTTTAAAAAGAGGAAAAATCAGAAGCAAAAAAAAAGGAAAATTTTTGTTGAAATTTTGTAGCTTGTAACTGTTTTTCAATATTTTGCTTAAATTTAGTTGTATTATCTATCAATTTCTATATATGTTTGGTGACTAAAATGTAATTTGAATAAATATATCTGTTTAATAAATCTGTTTTGTTTAAATGCACCAAAATACATCGCTTATGTTCACTGAGAAATGAAGAAAAATATTCATTTTCAAAATGGGCTGTACTCAATTCTGCTAAGCCCTTTATATAGATGATCCTGATGAATTTACACCAGTGAAGTACATTTTAATAGGCTAAAAAGATCCTAAACATGGTAGAACTCACAACACAATTTTTATACAACACAAAATGTCAAAGACTGACAATATGAATGCATATTTTGTTTCATTTCATTGCTTTAATATTGCTGTTTATTTCATTGCTGTTTAATAATGTTCTTACATTTTTATATAGTCTTTTTATTTAATGTATTTATTTATTATATAATGCAGGGGTCACCAATCTTGGTCCTGGAGGGCCGGTGTCCCTGCAGGGTTTAGCTCCAACTTGCTTCAACACACCTGCCTGGATGTTTCAAGTATACCTAGTAAGACCTTGATTAGCTTGTTCAGGTGTGTTTGATTAGGGTTGGAGCTAAAATCTGCAGGACACCGGCCCTCCAGAAACAAGTTTGGTGACCCCTGATCTAATGCATTCATATAATATAAATATATAATATAAAAATGTGTAAATGACATACTTTGGGTTATTTTTATTACTTTTTACTTATTTACATTTGTTATTATTTAAATTGCTGTTGTGTTTAAATAATCTATGAATGAAGTATTTTGAGAACAAATCCTGCTTTTATCTTACATTATTTATATACATCTTATTATTTTTTTAAGTGTAACATTTTGTTTTATAATCTTTTATTATTTACATATTATTTTATGTATAATGTACAGTTGACGTCAGAATTATTAGCATCCTTGATTTATATATTTTTTATTATATTTTTTTTCTTTCTTAAATATTTCCCAAATAATGTTTAACAGAGCAAGGACATTTTCACAGTATAATATTTTTTTCTTCTTCTGTAGAAATAAAATTAATAAATAATAATAATAAATAAATAAATCAGTTATTAGAGATGATTTATTAAAACTATTATGTTTAGAAATGTATTGATAAGAAACACACAGAAATTGGGGGGAAAATAAACAAAGGGGCTAATAATTCTGACTTCTTGAGTATTTGCATGTATGTATATGTATCCACAGGCAGTCCAGTGAAGAATAATCGGACTGGTCTGGTGGAGTTTAAGATGGACGGTCCGCTGCAGTATATGGTCTGGTATCACGCCGTCGGCCTCATCTGGGTCAGCGAGTTCATCCTGGCCTGTCAGCAGATGACCATCGCTGGAGCTGTGGTCACTTACTACTTCACAAGGTCAATAAATGCCTAAATGTGCAGTATGTAGGATTGACCGATTGCAGTCCAAACTCAAAATATTGAAGAATTTCTCATCAAATATTTACCTCTCTAGTATCTGACATATCCTGCACCTTCAATACGCTTTACATTTGATGCATCTGAGCTCAACCACTTTCATTGGCAGAGCTGTGAGGAACAAAACGCTATTGGCTGTTTTTAAAAATGGGAGAAGCAACACTGTCCCACGTTCATTTCATGTTTTGGTTGAGATCATGTCAAACATCTTATAAAAATTGCATATTTCAAAGCACTTCAAGTCAGCCTTCAAGACGGAAATTAAATTTACTGTGTTTTGCACCAAGACAACCTGGAGTGCTAATATATAATTGCATAAACTAGCAGTGGGCTGGTTATAGAGACCAAAACAAAGACAGACATTCAGACACACAATTTGAAAGGAGAATAACTGACTTCAGCATTGTTTTACAGATAAACAAGCATGTCTGCAAACATATTATGGTATTTTATTGCCGTAGAAGAGGGAAAATCTTAAATAAAGCACCTTTCGGAAATATCACAACCTCAATTGTGCTGAATTAATTGATGGTCTTGTAAAAGTCAGTGATTGTGATTTTTCAAATGTTTTGTTTCTGTGTTTGTTTGCAGAGATAAGTCTCAGCTGCCCTTCACACCCATCGTGTCGTCAGTGCTGCGTCTGATGCGCTTTCACCTGGGCACCGTGGCTAAAGGAGCCTTCATCATCACTCTGGTGGAGATCCCTCGCCTCATCCTCACTTACATCCACAGCCAGCTCAAAGGAAAGGTCAGACCAAACACAGACATCTCCAACCAGAAAATCAACATCACTTAGGTTTCTTTTTAAGTCTCTTTTGATATTTAAGCCTTCAGTTCCTTTTTCTGTTGAACATAAAAGAAGATGTTTTGAAGAATGTTGGAAACTAGTAACCATTGACATGTATTATTTGTTTATCCTACTATGCCTGGTAACCATGGTTACCGGTTGCCATCATTCTTCAAAATATCTTCTTTTGTGTTCAACAGTTAAAAAAGATACTGATAAATGTTTGGAACCACGTGAGGGAGAGTAAATATTCAGTGTATTTTCATTTTTGGGTGAACTGTCCCTTTTAAATGTGCAGTTCTGGTCTAAATCACAGGTATAACAGGCATAAACAGGATTTTGATTTACAGTGTAACCCACATTATTTGCGATCCTGTGAATTTTTCATGATTCAAGTATTTTCCAGGCAATGTTCAGCAGAGCGAAGAAAGATTTTCACAGTATTTCCTATTTTTCCTGTACAAAGTCCTAATTTCCTTTAAGTTTTTTTTGTCTAGTGTTACGGTTTAATTAATTTTTCTAGGGAAAATAAACGTAACACTTATAATATTAAATTATTACTTAGTAGATGGATGGAAAATACACCAGGACACAAAATTTACATTCAATTCGTTTATTCCTCTTACGAGGAGAAGAAAAATGAAGCCGACAAAAGAGAGGCTTACATGTGTGCGCTTTGTACAATGTATATATAATAATAAGAAGAAGAAGAAAAAAAGAAATACAATCAAAAGTTTTAGGGGAAAAAGGAACTAGAGTGGCGCCAATGCAAAGAACTAAACAAAACCAAAAGCCACCTAAACTAGAACACAAGATCCCCCTCTAAACTTACTAATAAAAATCAAAATGTGAAAAAGAAATCGAAATCTTCAGCGTTTGCGACGCCACACCTAAACTCCCTGAAATGATAAGCAAAAATACACAATGCGGCGCTCACCCACTTACCTAGTGTTTCTGAACACTGAAGTTACCTACGGGCAAAATGTATGTCGCGTGACTTAGTAAACTATTCCCTTTTCCCCAAAAAGAAATGATAAAATCTTTAACCATGACTTAATTTACATCGATGTAATTATTCAGAAACACAGCACAAAGCATACATTATGAACAGCAGCAAGCGAACACAAACCAACACACACACAAATAGCACTCTGAAAAACAAGGCGTGCCGGTCGAATTTAAAGTCCGCGGAACGAAGTCCAATTGGTCCACGAGGAAACGCCCTAATGAGGAGTGACAGGCTCGGGATCCAATCAGCAGGTACCTAGTAGAGAAAAAGTAGCGCAACAAAAGGTGATAGGGCGAGACAAAGAGCGAATGACAATTGAGGAGATGCGAAGGAAGACAAGCAAAACAGAGAGGGAGATGGCACAAAAAATACAAACTCTCAAGGACCGTAACCTCTAGTAAAGCGTTGTGTTTTTTGTTGCAGGAGAACGCGTGTGCTCGCTGCATGCTGAAGGCCTGTATCTGCTGTCTGTGGTGTCTGGAAAAGTGCCTGTCCTACCTGAACATGGTGAGTTGTGCATTTGTGTTGCAGATTTATATAGGGTGTCTATATTTTTGATTTGATGTATTAATCGTGTGGCTTTTCTTCAGAATGCTTATACAGCCACGGCCATTAACAGCACTAATTTCTGCACGTCTGCTCGAGATGCTCTCTTCATCCTGGCAGAAAACGCTCTCCGTGTGGCCGCCATCAACAGTGTCGGAGACTTTGTGCTGTTTTTGGGAAAGGTAAAATGTATTATTTTTTAATGGAATTTATGTAAAGGGATTGTGTTTATTAATAGTTTTGTGTTTGCTTTTTATTTACATGTTAATGCAAATAAGTGTAATTTTTTTGTCTATTTTTTTCCAAATCTAATATTTGTTGCATTAATTTACAGCCACTTCCAGTTACAAGTCTAGTATGACTGAGCTTATTTTATTTCAGTTTATTGCTCTGGCAAAATTGGCAATTTTCATTTAAGGTTTTATTAGATATTTATTATTATTGATTTTTGAATTTTTTTGCATTTTCATTTTATTTAAACTTTTTATTTTGGTAAACTTTGTTGTTCATTTAAAAAATAAAACTATAAATAAATTAAATAATTGTAATGTTATTTGAAATGGCCATAAATTGCTGATGTGGCAATACATAGTTATGAATTTATTTTTATTATTTTATTTATTTTTATATTAACATTTACCTTCATTTCAGTGTTATTCTCCTAGTATGTATAATTTCATTCCTATTTTAACGTTAGTATTTTTAGAAATTGTTAACTTTAGTTTTGGTAATATTATTATTACGTAATGGTGATATATTTAATAATATTTCTTAAATCTTCTTATATATTCATTTGAATTATAATAGTTTGTCATTTCAGTAATTCAGATAACTCATTGCATTTCATTTTTTTAATGTTTAGATTTTTTTTTTAAATTCTTATTGATTGTTTTTTATATTGTTTTTTTCTTGAATTTGTTTTTAAATATTGTTTTCTTATTGAAATTGTTTTTAAAATTTTGTTTTCTTATAAATTTTTTTTTATTGATTTTTTTTTTTTAAATATTGTTTTCTGATTGAATTATTTTTTTAAAATATTGTCTTTGCTATTGCTTAATTTATGTGCGAATGACTTCTCAAAGCTCTTAGGCCCAATCCCAGTTCTACTTTTTAGCCTTTACCCCTACCCCTCGTTTTGCATGTTCACATGAAGGTGTGGGGGGTGTCCCAATTTTCTGTAGCTTGAAGGGGTAGGGCTAAGGAGAAAGCTTAGATAGATTTTCCAGGACCACATGCCTTATTAAATGCTTTATTAACACCATCTACAATAGCAGCATGGCTGCAAACAAGAGTCAGAAGATGCACAAACTATTTTTTTTTTTTGCCATTATTAACAATTTTTACAACAAACAAGCACATGTTTTATACATTCATAAGTGTTTGTGTTTAACAGTCATTCTTTAAATAAATAAATAAATAAATAAATAAAATTGGCCATCCATAATCCATAATAACTCCTGTATAGTAGTCCCACAACATACTTTATATACATTTTGTCACTCGATGACACTGGAATACCCTGTCAGAGAAGTCTAGTGGCTGGGAATGACCTTTTTACAGTGTCTGGTATAATGTTAATGTCGTGTTTTTTTTTTGTGTTTACAAAGATCAGGCATGTCCAAACTCAGTCCTGGAGGGCCGGTGTCCTGCAAAGTTTAGTTCCTACCCCAATCAGACACACCTAAGCTAGCTAATTTACAAGGCTTTCTAGATGCATCTTTGCAGGAGTGTTGAGGCAAGTTGGAGCAACAATCCTCAGGACACCGACCCTCCAGCACAAAGTTTGGACACCATGACATTGATGAATATGGCCAGTGTTTAAATGCACAGTACAGCTACGAGCTTATTGCCACATTATATTGATATAACATGATATTGTTGCCTTCAGGGATTTCCTGAAGATAAATACCAAAAAATAATAAAACTGGAATATCTACAGCAGTCGCCATCGTCGATCTCATATGAAGTAAGAGCTCACGATGGCATAAAATGTTGTGTGCTGGTGTTGTATTGCTGTCCCATTTCCTAGGAGTAAACTTAAAGACCTCCCCCTTCACACTGTTTCAAGGGCCAAGAGGAAGGGGTGAAAGAGAATTAGGGTTGGCCCTTATATAACCTGTATAATTCATATAGAGCCCAGTCAGACTGCTGTTTTTAACTGTGTATTTCTTGTGTATGTGCAGATTTTGATCGTGTCGTGTACGGCGTTTGCGGGCGTCCTCTCTCTGAACTACCAGCGTGAATACAGCGTCTGGGTGCTGCCGCTCATCATCGTGTGTGTGTTCGCCTTCCTGGTGGCTCATTGTTTCCTCTCCGTCTTCGAGATCGTGGTGGACGTCCTGTTCCTCTGCTTCGCCATCGACACCAAGCAGAACGACGGCAGTCCAGGCCGCGAATATTACATGGACAAGAGCCTCATGGTGAGAAAAACACACCCTCTGTAGCTGTGTATTCATCCAACGAGTCAAAGAGAATAACTTCAATAAGTCTGTTCTGTTAGACTTGTTTTGTTTTCTAACATATTAAACTTCTTTCTTCATGTAGGAGTTTGTAGAAAACTCCAGGAAAGCTACAGAGAAGTACAGCAAAGCAGAAGGAGACAGTCGGGAGATGAAATCTATGGTGGGTCATATTTGGATGGTCATATTTAAAACACTTTGATTGACATTCTCCCTTTGTACGTGTCATCAGAGGGGGAAAGCCCCGCCCATTAGTGACCATCTCTTCCTCGTTAGCATAGGACATTAGTCTTTTTGTTTGAATCTGCCGCTATGCTGACACACAGGCATTTGTAACTCCGCCCTCTTATAAAAACTCATTTGAATTTAAAGCAGCAGTCACCAAAATGGCACAATTTGGATCAAAGCCTAAAGGGGGGAGTTTTAAAGAGTTAATAAACATTGTGTGTGTGTGGGATTTTGAGCTGAAACTTCACATACACACTCTAGAGACATCAGAGACTTATTTTGTGAAAAGGGGTGTAATAGGTCCCCTTTAACATCCCTTATGGGAGAAATACATGGGCAGCCAGCACTGCTCATGCACTCTGTTGATCATCTCTTGTGATGTCTGTTTCAGACTGGAGGAACACTGGCCTGATGAAGACCTCGCCACACTTTTTACATCGTCTGACACTCCAACAAAGAGCTACCGAGATGCGCAAGAGCTTCTCTTCAGGGATTATAATGTGACAGACCTTATGAAAGGGCATTAGAAGAGCTCCAGGAGCAGGGTACATGCACAGATATACTGTATGCATGCTAATATTAGCTGCCAAATTTGTATTTTCCCGAAACACACAAAAGAATGGACTTGAGCAGCCGATTGCATGCAAGTCATTTAAAATAGAAATTTGGAAGCCTAAATATCAGCTTTGACTTCGATTTATTCAGTGCTGGACAAGATTAATCTCATCCAAAATAGTTTGTTTTGACTGTGTGTGTATTAGTTTTATATATATATATATATATATATATATATATATATATATATAACACAATATAATATATAATATTTTATAATATGTATATGTGATACACACATAAAACTATACAAAAGCATTGTTATTTAAATATATATTTAATTTGTATCATAAATATCTCATTTAACATTTGAATTATAATTATAAACGAACATTTTCTTAAACGTATGCATGCGTGTATTCATATATACACAGTAAACACACTTAAATTGTCAAATCAAACCTTAATTTTGGATGCGATTGATTTGCTCAGCACTATTTTTATTACGATAGTACATTTTATGCAGAACTTATCAAGTAGATGCATTAGTATTTTATATATTTGATAATTTTAGGGTTTTACTCCATAAAATTCAGTTTCAGTCATCCATCGTCATTTTTCAAAGGTGCTTTTTGAACGTTATCTTATTGACAATTTTCTGAAATGCAGTGCTATCATATTTTTTTTCTATGCAAGCAATAATAATGGACTTTCCTCAGCAAGATGTTTTTATATGATTTGAGGTCCATGAGTGTCTTATTTTAATATCCTAGAGTAGTTGCTGCTGAAGTTTGCACTGTTTATTTAAATTTGTGCAGCAGTTTTGTTACAAATATATTAAGAGACTCTTATCTTTTACTGTAAATCATATGTTTTAAACTGGATTCCTGGAGGGCTACAGCTCTGCACAGTTTTGCTCCAACTCGAATTAAACACAGCCGATCCAAATGATCAAGGTGTTCTTGACTGTTATAGACTGTTATGCAGATGTGAGTTGGAGGTGGTTGGAGCTAAACTATGCAGACCTGCAGCCCTCCAGGAAATTCAGTTTGAGACTATTGCTGTAAATGAACCGCATTACAAAAGTTGCCATTTTCTCTTGTGCCAAAAAGCTGACGTGTGTCTTATAAAAACACTAAATAACTTTTTTAATTTGAATTTTTTTATCTTGTTATTGGAGTCCAATAATTAATTTTATCATTTTGAGCCAGAAATGACACACTGCAGCTTTAAATCACATCATTCGTGTGAAAGTTATGAGTGTAATAGGAAAACAGTTTAATAAAAACCCAAAGAAACATACAAACTGATACTGTTTCGCATTTATGAACTGAATGCATGAGTTTATTAACAGTATTCATTGGCTTGTTTGCAAGCTGAACATGACTGTAAACAACGTGTAGCTCGTAGGTCTCAAACTCAATTCCTGGAGGGCCGCAGCTCTGCATTGCTTTGCTCCAACCCTAATCAAACACAGCTGATCTGACTAATGAAGATGTTCATGACTCTTTTGAACACCTCGATTAGTTGGATCAGCTGTGTTTAATACGGTTGAAGCAAAACTGCTGAACTGCGGCCCTCCAGGAATTGAGTTCGAGACCTATAGTGTAGCTGGTGTGTTTATGAAGGCAGGTGTGTTTTGAGGTGATCTTTCAGTTTGGGTATGGTGGTCTGTTCTTTACCGCACACATGACAGCGCAGCGGCAGCTTCAGTAATTCACCTGCACCCTCCTTCACCTGCACCTTCCCATCATGCTCCAGCATTGATATCACATCTGTAGGGGGAAAAAATCCATGAACGTTTCACTTGATCATCACGCAGGTAAATAGTTGTTTCTGTACACGGCTCGTAGAATGTATTTTTGATAAAATGTTAAATGAGACATTATTATTATTTTTGTCATTTTAATACGTATTAGCTGTATTTTTATGTCAGGATAGTTTAGTTTTAGTCATTTATATTACCACATAGTTACACTAAATAATAATAATAAAAAATTTTATATATATATATATATATATATATATATATATATATATATGCACCACGCGGTCATGTGCACACGAGACAACCACATTTCTAACTGGCAAATGACATGAACTAGTGGGTTGTCTGCTGTCATGTCATGGTGAGCGCGTTCGTGATTTCAGGAGGCGTGGCTTTGGACAGCAGGGGAAGGACTGTGTGGGATATTAAGCAAGCCGGTTAGCATTTTGGCAGATCAACTACTGCACCTTTAACTTAGAAGTTCTAGTAAATTAAAATTGTCAGTCCAGGTTACAAAGGTGAAGTTCAGTTCAGTGTGGTTTCATTTTCACTGCTAAAAGTCTAAATACTGAAGAGCCAATGCATCGATGCGCAGCTCCACAAGTCCAAAAATGCTTGTTTATGTACATATCTTGTATATGTACTGTATATACCTTTTTCTTATTTTTATTTAGTGTAAATATGAGCTCAAGTAAATAAATCTATCCTGGCATAAAAAAATACCGCTAATAAAAAGTATATTAACAAAACAGAAATTAAGTAACTAAGTAATTAAAATATAAATATAATTGATATAGTTGTTTTAAATATTATTATTATTTAGTTAGTGGTCTATAATAATCCTGACAGTAAAAAAAATGTTGAAACTTACATTTTTTTAATGAATCGCTCATGGTTAATTTGTTTATTAATGCATTTATCAATATTAACAAACAGCACTTTAATAATGTATGATGCAAAAAGTTGTACATTTTGATTTGAAAGACGTGCCAGTTTCAATCGATCGATTACTATTCCTGAACTACTGTACTCTTTTAAAAAGTTACTTTAATTAAGTTTTTACTAAAGTTAAATTTGTTTTAAAGGGATTTTTTTCTTTGCATTTTGCATCGGTAAAGCTTGCATTGTTTCAGTAAGTCTATTTTTTTATGTTTTAAATTAAAAATATCAGTTAACATTTATTTTATTAACAAAAATTGTTCAACTAGAATAACTCCGCTTTGAGCGAATTGTTTTTTGTTTTCATGCAGATTTTATGTAGTTGTTTTCCACTCACCTTGAGACTCCACAAAATAGTCAGTAGTGAAGGAATTCCAGTGTTTCTTGTTCTTCAAACACGGCGAATCGAAGTCTTGACTGATGACGTGCAGATGAACGTGACTGAAGAGAAATAAACCCCAAATTCTTATTAACTCGAGATGCAAAAACACTGTTTTTATGCACCTGTCAATATTGAGATTGTGTTTTTTGATTTTCATAGCGTGTTTTTTCAGTCTGATAAAGAAATAGATGTAAATAAAATGTCCAAAGTACACTTTTATGCATTTCTTTTGTTATACTTTATAAATCTGTGTCTGTAGATTTTAATTGCAAAGGCTATTTTATCAAAATGAGTAATACATTTTTATTTCAGCTACACTAACATGAAAAATTACAGTTTTGTTCATATCTATATTTTTACATAAGGATGTTTATAAATAATCTACCTGAGTGTATGTAGCATTTTATTCTAAAACATAATTGTGAAAATAATATATAGTTTAAAGCATTTATTAAGACAATATTCATTTTTTTTCCCCCTTCAATTTCCTAAATTATATTCAAGAAGGCAGCAACACCAAAGCTCAAAAATGCCATTTTGGGGAAAAAAAACAAACAAACTATTTTTGCATAATAGGTCTTCTTTAATTCATCACAGGCCAATCAGTGTGCAGGGGCGTGTACCTCATGCTGGGAATGGCGTGGTAGCCGAGCCGGAAGCTCAGTTTGTGGGCATCAGGACATTGCTCCACCATCTGATCTGCCACCCGCTGCATGTGTTTGAGCAGCTCCACGTGCTCGGAGCGCAGTGCCTTCAGGCTGGAGATCGACTGCCACGGCAAAACCAACCAGTGATAACGAGCCTTCGGGTATTTATCCTTGATTACCACCACGCTGTCGTCTTTATACACCTGAACACAACATGCATGACAGCTGTTAGGCTCAATATACATAATTATTAGCCCTCCTGTGTATGTTTTCTCTGAATTCTTTTTAACAGAGAGAGGATTTTTCTAAACCATAGTTTCAATCACTCATTTCTAACAACTGATTTCTTTTATCTTTGCCATGATGACAGCACAATATTTGACCAGATATTTTTCAAGATACTAGCTTAAAATGACATTTAAAGGCTTAACCAGGTTAATTAGGTTAACTTGGCAAGTTAAAAATAATATAAAATTTCACAGGATGGCTAATAATTTTGTTTTCAACCATATAACCATATAATATCAATATATTATAATATAATAACACACTCCAACCTGCATTTTGGGGTCCTGCATTGACGCTTTAAGTCCTTGGCTCCAGTGCCCAGCAGACTCCTTCAAAACAGAGGGGTTTCCACTGTTTTAGTCCAAAATCAACACTTTAAATGTGGTAAAATACATCAGCATTTCAACATAAATCTTAAATAAAGACCTTTAAAGTTTTCTCCAACCTCATGGCAAATATTAATTTAAAGCAAAAGCACTTGAAAATCATATAATGCACTTTATTTTAAGAGACTTACTTTGAAATAAGGTCATATTCATTCATGTATTTAATAACAAACAGCACATTTATAACAGTATTATTGATCTTTGTTACATTTTAGTTGATAGAAATACAGTTTTTCATAGTTCACTCAGTACATTAACTAATCCTAACAAGAATGAATTTGCATTTTAATAATAATCTAGTAAATCTGTGATTAATAAATGATGCACAATTATTGTTCATTATTAGATCATGTTGGTAAATACATTACTTAATGAAAACTTTAAGTGCAACCATTATAATAGAGCATATATGAGTAAAATATCTCACAGATCTCTCTTTTGAATTCATATTTTCTCTAGGAAGCTTTACAATATTATATTATAGATTATTCAGTACCGAAATCTGGAGCTTATCTAACAAAATAACTTATGATAACACTCCAAAAAAAAAACAAATGTATATACTAGGGGAAAATATTACATACACATTGAAAAAATAAATCTAAAATAATATTATATACAAAATAAACAAATAAATATATACAATTTTGTTGAAATTTTTGTAGTTTGTAATTGTTTTTGCATGTTTTATCTTTCTATTACTACAGATGTTCAGTGACTAAAATATTATTTCAATACATATATCTGTTTAATAAATCTGTTTTGGTCAAATGCACCAAAATATGACATATATTCACTGAGAAATTGATAAAAATATTCATTTTGCAAACTCATTTATGCCGAGCACTGTATACTCCTATTGCATAAATACTGAAACTTCCCAACCTATACATCTAAAAGAAACTCACCGATTTTTCACCAGCAGGTGGTGTTGTTTTTTTGGGTGGAGGTGGGCTGTCTGACACATCTGCTGTTGTTTTTGTAGGGCTCTGGATCTGCTGGGCTCTTTTGGAGGGTTTGGATCTGGACGTGTCCTCCGTGAACTTCACACTGTAAGGATACTGCTGATTGACCATGTAGAGTCTCTGACCCGGCTTTATGCTCACCTGCTTGCAGAGGTGGGCGACATTTGGTTTGTGTGATGTTAAGCAGACCAGAGACCTGTGCAATACAGCCTCAATTACAAGACAACCGGACAATTATCGACACAGCTGGTTTGCTAGAAGCTGAATAAAATAATAATTGCATCTTATCAGATATTAAAAAAAAAATAAAAAATACTTGGCATTTTAGATGTTGTAAATGTGTTCATAGAATATTTTATCGAAGCAAATACTACTGTTTATGTGTCTGATGTTTATAATAATAATGTACAATTTTCATTTTTACTTTGCCTTGTGTTAACTTAATAAAACTTGTATTAAAATTACATATATTATACCATTATATTTATATATATATATATATATATATATATAAATATATATATATATATGTACATACATACATAGATATACATACATAAATACATATAAATATATCTATACACACACACACACACACACACACATACATATATATATATATATATATATATATATATATATATATATACACACACACACACACACACACACACACACACACACACACACTACCTCAAAAAAATCTTGTCTTGTATCCAAGTTAAGTAATAATTTGACTTATAGTTGATCATTTAGTATCACAATTGGTTTGTATGAAAGGCAAATGACTCTAAATTATGATTATTTTACCAAAATAAAATATGATCATGCCTTGATTTTTAATGATTTCATTAGGACAGTAAGGTCTGACTTTGCTTAGACAACAGTCTTGTCACTTAACAGAAATAATGTACAGTATAGAATATAAAGTCATGCTGTTACTGTGAATTAACAAACAGGACATATTGGAAGTCTGCTCAAGTCTAGGATAATGACTATACAAAATTTTGCATTTTAAGCAACAGTAGAGCTACACATGGGTCTATAATTGTTGTTGTTGTTTTACCATATGTTTAATAATAGGCTAAACTTATTAACCTTTATTTTACATTTACAGAATCGTGAGAAAATCGTGATCTTGATTTTAAGCAAAAAAAAATTTTAAAAATTGTGATTCACATTTTTGCCAGAATCGTGCAGCCCTAGTCCGTATATTAAATACTTTTTCAGAATATTTTAAAAACACTGTACCTGATTGCCTTTGCCCACAACCACATCATCCACAAGTGTCGGATTCACACCCAGCTATTAAAAACATCAAATAAACAGGTTCAAACGTTATTACGTTTTATAAATTAACTTCTAAAAGGCTGTTATAATAAAATATCTGGTTCAAATCCATTTTGGTGAGTAACAAGTATTTTAATTTATTATTAAAGGAGAAAGTCAAAATATAAAACCAACTTTACACCAAGAAATAAACTTTTTTTTGTGGTATTGAAAACTAATTTGCATTATTTGACATATATTTCAGCTCAGTATATATTGTATTAATATTTGCTTTGATATTATAATTCTCCAGCAGACCTGTTTAACAGTGACAAATCCCCTGTTGCAATCAGCTCTCAATTCAACTGCAAAAAAGAAAAGACGTTGTATTTCTAAAATAAAGAGGCCGTTTTTTTATTTGCTTTTTATATGCAAAAATACCTTGTTCTCTAGAGCACTTCTTGTCTTTTATCTTAGTGTCTGGTCCTCGACCCAGAGTCACAGACTGTTGGTGATGGAGCTCAATGGGTTTGTGTGAATTATCTTCACTTACTAGTAAACACACAGGCATCTCCTGAAAACACACACCATATTACACGTTATAATGCTATTGCGTATACATATAGTCTACGGTGCTTTTCTAAAACCCACTTATGTTCGTTACTTACTGTGTTAGTGTAATAAAGCTACGGTAGAAAAAAGTGTGGTAGTCGTAAACATAAAAGTGCAACACATGACGCTCGCTCGCTCGCTCTTGTTCGTTGGTGTCAACAAACAGCACGTCATGCGCGCTTGCTGCCAACTACTGGCTGAAAGATGACGTGAACTAATCTTACCTAGGTGCCTAACAGATAATGTTAATACAAAAAAGATGATGTTAATTCAAAAAGTAGAATTTTAAAAAAGATATTAAAATAAATACAATTACACATATAATATAATCTAAAAATATAAGTAAAAATTAAAATTGTACACGATACAATTACACTTAAGGGCACAAGGCAAGGAGAGCAAACCAGAGTTGTGCAGATGCAAAACAGTATAAAGAGGAAAAAGTACACTATAATGCAAAGTATATAGTATAAAAGGCTTGTACATATGATGAGTATTATAAAGTGACAGTGTCTTAATAATATATAGGAATGTAGTATGAGGTATCTAGCAGATGTAGATGTATACACGTCAGATTTAGTGGAGTTTGTGGACAGATTTCCTGTAACTACACTTTAAAAATAATATAACATCACTTTATGGAGTTTAATTTTATAGAGTATAGAATAGTGTTACTTAATGCAGACAGTTTAAACGCTCCTACTGTTGATTTATTTGGATTTTGTTTTTATTTTAAGGCAAGTAATTATTCACTCATTCATTTTCTTTTCGGCTTATTCTCTTTCATAATCAGGGGTCGCCACAGCGGAATGAACCGCCAACTTATCCAGCATATGTTTTACTCAGCGGTACTACCCATGGTTACTACCCATCTCTGGGAAACATCCATACACACTCATTCACACACATACACTATGATCAGATTTAGCATATCCAGGTCACCTGTACCACATGTCTTTGGACTGTCAAGATACCCCACACGAACAGGGGGAGAACAAGCAAACTCCACAGAAATGCCAACTGATTCAGGCGAGACTGAACCAGCAACCTTCTTGCTGTGAGGCGAACATGCTACCCACTGCACCATCGTTTAGTTCACCACAAGTTATTATGTTCCTAATAAATAATAAATTGATAAAAAAAATAGCCGACCACTTTTTATTTTATTTTTATTAAAAAATGATATTTTATTGTAGCAAATTACACAACAACATCCCTAGACAGTTAGTGAATCCATTTTATATTGTTTTAATAAATAATACAATTTTATTATTATATATATATATATATATATATATATATATATATATATATATATATAAATATGTGTGCGTGCGTGTGTGTATGTATGTATATATAATATATATGTATATAAATAAAATTGTGTGTATGTATATATATATATATGTATATATATATATATATATATATATATATATATATATAAGCAGGACATTTGACTTTGTTTTAATTTATTTTATTACAGATTACAGTAGGCTATTAAGTAACCTACATTTATTGTAGCTTTTTTTTATTTAGTTTTTTCCATTTTAATGCAAATACTTTATTTTCCATAACAAATTACACAAAATCTCTACATTATTAGCCAACCGCTTTTATTTCATTTAATTTTATTCAACATTCATTTTGTTGATTTTGTTTTCTTTGGTTACATTTAGTGGCACAGTGGGTAGCACAATTGCTTCACAGCAAGAAGGTCACTGGTTTGAGCCTCGGCTGGGTCAGTTGGCGTTTCAGTGGAGTTTGCATGTTCTCCCTGCGTTCACGTGAGTTTCCTCCGAGTGCTCCAGTTTCCCCCACAGTCCAAAGACATGCAGTACAGGTGAATTGGGTAGACTAAATTGTCTGTTGTGTATGAGTGTGAATGAGTGTGTGTGGATGTTTCCCAGAGATGGGTTGCAGCAGGAAGGGCATCCTCTTCCTAAAAAAACATGCTGGATAAGTTGGCGGTTCATTCCGCTGTGGCGATCCCTAATTAATAAAAGGACTTAGCTGATAAGAAAATTAATTTGTATTCATTAATTCTCTTTTCGGCTTAGTCCCTTATTAATTAGGGGTCGCCACAGTGGAATGAACCGCCAACTTATCAAGCATATGTTTTACACAGCGGATCCCTTCCAGCTGCAACCCGGGAAAATTATTAATAATACTACTACTACTAATTACTAATACTACAATTAATAAATACTATTACTACTACTAATAATAATAATCATAATTAATCGATTGCAATTATTTCTCAATTTAATATGCATTTATTTATGCAATTTATGTTGTGTGGGTGTTTATTTACAGACAGTGATCATTCTTGTTTGTTATCTGAGGAGATTTAATAAAGATTAAAAAAATAATGCGCCTAGAGTTGCTTGGCAACAGCAAACAGCCTACAGTAATAAATTGTTAGCATTGTTTTAACACTGTTTATCATAAATAATTACTGTATTGAACATCTGTTTTAATCACATTTCTGCACAACTGTTCTAAGCAATAAACCACTCTAGCTGAATTTACCAAAGTCAACTTCTTGTAAAATCACTGTGTATCTTTATTGCTTTATTCTCACATTTTCGCACCAAAACAAATAGGCTTAAACTAAAATACAATTAACGAGTTAGCCTGGGCATTTAGGCACATGCATTAATCAGATTCTGCCCGGTGTGTGTGTTGTGTTTAGATGGAAAAGCGGCATGAATGTGACTTTTATGCGAGTTTAGTGTGGAGTAAAACTCGCTCGTCTGATCTCATGTCACCGACTTCCTTCTTCAGAGGGGATCATTGAGAGATCAGGTAAGAGCTGGCAGCTCCCAAAACACACTTAAAACCATCTCAGCACTGGCCTTTTCGCATTCCCCTATATCCTCATGCAGTTTTATGCTATTTGCCGGAGGTTTCATCTGGTGTTATGCGTTACTTGACGCGATTTCTGTCATTATACTGAGCTTGAAGGTTAGCACAGGCTAGTTAGCTTCAGTTTAACACACACAATTCCCCGCATGATGACACTATTAAATGACTTTTAGAGGATAAACGGAAGGTTGGGTGGATTATAGATGATTTATCAGCGCGTAAGGGTTTTATTTATAGATATATAGTGGTGTTTTTGAGTTTACTCGTTCATGTCTCGCGATAGCGCGTCAGTTTTATTAGCCGTTAGCTGAATTAGCCGTCAAAGTCATTTCACGTTTACATGTAGGCACATGCCTGAGAGCGAGCTAGATTTTTATTAAAACACGAAGCGTGTTCATATTTCATGGTGGTATTGATCAACTCAGTTGTTTTAATGTCGTTTGGGTTGTCAGTGATGTGTGAATGTCTTCTGCAAACAGGCCTCGTTTATCTAAACAAAGTTTAAACTAGCTCTTAATATGTATGTTTTAGTTATTATTATCGTAAACGGTGTTTTTATTTGTACTGTTGTGTTTTAAATCATGTCTGCAAATTAAATGAACTTAGTTCACAGAGTGACACGTAAGCAAAACTAACCCTTGACATGATATCCACTTACAATAACACACGATTCTGCCATTATGTTCGAGATTTGGACTGTGTTTCAATACTAAAATGATGTCAACCTACACAGAGCCCTTCGGGCAGCGGTAAAACAGAATCTAGGTGGGGCAGTTTCAGTGTGCATGTAAACACTTGGTGTTTGGCATACAAGCTAAAGTCAGCTCATCACATCACAGTGTCATTCAAGTGTCAGCTAACCAGTTTAACCCTTCATATTCACCCAGACCCCCTTCAGACACTGTGAAGCCAAGGGCTGTCGTGATGTCGGAGCCCAAAGCGCCCACCCCGGCCCCTGGAGACACCTATAAAGGCTGGCTCTTCAAATGGACTAATTACATCAAGGGATACCAAAGGCGATGGTTCGTCCTGAGCAATGGCTTACTGTCTTACTACAGGTGAGTTTGGGACATTATTTTCGCTTATCGACCTCCGGAAACAAAAGAGATGATGGCTATCAGGTATCGTTTCCATAGACAGCAGGTCTGCCAGTGGTTTATAGGAACGTCTGATGTCCTAATCAACCCTTTGTGATGCTGTCAAGTGTTCTTTGGCCTCTCACCAATATCTGATAAGGCGCTAAGCTTTAGATAGTGAAATGGTTTGATATTCCTGGTATGGCAAGCATTGCTGTTTCTTTTGACATCGAGTATTAAAGGGATAGTTCACCAAAAAAAAAAAGACTCATCTTTTACTTGTTTCGAACCTTTAAAAGTGTCTTCCTTTTGTTGAAAACAAAAGAAGATATTTTGAAAAATGTTGACTTCCTAAGTATTTGTTTTTCCTACTTTGAAAGACAATGGTTACAAGTTTGCAGCTTTGTTCAGAACATCTTTTGTATTCAACACAAGAAAGAAACTCTTAAAGATTTGGGACCACTTGCTGGAGATTAAATACTAAGTAAATAAAAAAAAATGTTTGCGTGAACTATCCCTTTAAAATTACATTATTGGGTGATGGTGCCTTAAGGCTGATTTATACTTCTGTCAAACGCCGGCGTATGCTACGGCACTGACGCATAGCCCTTCGCCGTGGCCGTCGGCGTCGCTGACATGCACCTCTCAAAAAATGTAACTACACGTCGCAACAATGCGTAGCGCAAGCTCTGTGATTGGTCGGCTTGGTAGCACTGACGAGTCTGGGCGGGACCGAGAGCCGCATGAATGGTGCGAGCCTGATTGAGCGATTGTTTACAAGTGTGGAGTCCCGTGAAGGAGCTCCGGATGGAAAGTTTTGTTTGGTGTTTACCTCATAGTTAAAGTTGTTGCACGTCCACCGGTTCCTGCCTCAAAATGAGCGAGTTTGAGCCACTTGTACATTAAGGAAGTGTTCAGGAAAAGCAAAACACCAGCAAAGAAACTCGACACAGAGGAACATTTACACCTCACTGCCAACTAGCGTTTCGGAAGTGTTAATGCAGATTCAATCAGATTCGAGAACCAGACAGAACTGTTGTATTATAATATTTATTATATGACATACAGCCTATATTTCTGAGGTCCAGGCAACAATTCCAGGTGTTGATGAATTGGCAACTATATGTTAATACTTTACATTTAAGTACAGCACTTTTCTTTTTAGTTTTTAACAACATTAACCTATCATTTTTAACTATTAAAATGCCATTTTAATTTAAATGTTGATGTTTTTAGTTTTTAGTTATTTATTTTTTTTACATATAAGCACAATACAGTGTTAACGTTCAGACTATTTATAATGTTTTAAATGGATGGCAATAATAAATATTCGTAATAATAGAAATAAATCTGCCACGTTTTAGAACTGTGCAGAGCTGTAGCTACTTTACTGGGCTTACTACGCTACTTAGATAAACTTAGATTTTACAGTTACAGGGAACTAGGGTTGTAACGGTATGAATTTTTCACGGTATGATAATCGTCTAAAACAATACCACGGTTTGACGGTTTCGCGGTATACGGTATGTTACAAATGTTACAAAATAATAGAACAGTGAAGCAAATTTGACTTTTTCCAAATAATATATTTTTAGTTACTATAAACAACACCACTTACAATGAACAAATAAAAATAAGAAAATAATAAATAATGTGTCAAAGTCCAAATAAAGTCCAAATAAACATGGTGCAAATCCTCAGTAAAAAATAGATATAAATATTTACTATACTATAAATAGTTACATAACGAAACTAGATTCAATATGGAACATCCTTAGGTTTTATGTGCCAGCATGGATATGGTTGTCTATCGATATGGATTGGGATATGGTTGTCTGCAATGCAGACAAACAGCTGCATCTTCATTTGCGTCTTTTGAAAACAGCAAGAGCAACAGTTCGTCTTTGCTGTGTCACTGTTTTGTCATGTTTCTGTGCTGCTGTGCATGCAAAAGTACTTAGTATGAGAATTATTTCATTTTTTTTTGCGTTTTATTTAGCCGCGCATAAATGTATGCCTATCTCTCATTCCGTGTTGTTCAAAAAGCTTGGTCCACAAACAAAAGCGAAACCTATGCTTATTGGTTGTGATATAGCGAGTTTGAACCAATCTGGGCATGGAGGAGGGACAATGCATCAATGTATCATGTCTGATTTGTCCGGAGACACAGTGACGAGCGTTTCTTTGTCAAATCAGCGTTGTCAAATGTTGATGACGTAACCGCACTGATTCCGGAGCCTCTGAAAGTCCGCGAATGTTATGTGATACAGCACTGGAAAGCTGAGAGTCTCTTCTTTATGCCAATCTTTGAATTGTATGAATCGGATCAGCGGATCAAAAGTTATTAAACATTTAAGAGCAATACTTATTTTTAGCCGCGGGCGGCTGTCTCGGTCTTTAAGGGTTAAAACCGTTGATATGCAATTGTTCATGGTATGATAATCGTGCACGTTCAAATCGTGGTAAACCGTCATACCGGTATATTGTTACAACCCTACAGGGAACATAGTATATATTAAAATGTATTTATTTATTTTACTGTATTTATTTGTTGTATTTATTAGTGTATATTTAACATAGTATATGTTAAAATGCATAAAACTTTAGGTTGGTTATTGGTGAAGGATAGGGTAATTGTTTCTCTGCTGTGTTTTATAAGAAAGATTTCTGTGTCAAAAGTTCTAAGTGTATTGTACTGTCAACTTTTGTATAGTAATGTTAGTCATCATTTTAACACCAGGCATGCATTAAAAGGAAATTTTTTGCTTCCCATTTCAAAAACTAATGCAAAGCATCGTACCGTGATGTATAGAGGAATGAAAATATGGAATGAATTGCCATCAGACATTACATGCTTTGTAACAAGTAAAATTAGATTTAAAAAATCATTAAAAAAATATTTAATGGAACAATATTAAATGGATTGTTGATTTGGATGTTATGTATGAATTTTGTATTTTAATGTTTTTATTGGTCTTTGTTGTTGTGTATTAATGTAATTTTGTGTTATGTTCGATGGACCCCAGGAAGAATAGCCACTACCTTGGTAGTGGCTAATGGGGATCCTGGTAAATACATAAATAAAATAAATACTGTATTTCAATGCTGCTCATTATGGTGGTACTTGGAGAGACAATTTTTTTTGAGGTGGTACTTGTTGGAAAAAAGTTTAAGAACCCCTGCCTTAGATCATCCAACTTGTTGCATATTCAAGATGCCATTTGGAGATGTTGTAGATGCTGAAAGCTCAACACTCTCGTGTTGTTTGTAAGATGATGCCAGCTTACGTAATTAGATTTGAGTTGATGTAGGGAAGTTGCATTCATCTCATTGGGCTCTGTTAATTATTAATACTGCGCGTGAGAGCACAGGAGCTCCCGCATGTGTGTCTGTTTGCTCGTACGATCCTTACTGTTTGCTCAACAGTTTGACATGAGAGGATAACAACACATTCTTTAAAATCCCCCTTCTCCCTCTGATATTGATCTCTGTCAATAAACTGTAAAATATCAAGGTGCAACACCTCCGCGTTTTTGGATGGCGAGAGATTGTCCGCTACTTTTGCTGACCCGGGTGCTTTCCTCCTTGTGTTGTATTTGCTCTTGAATACGGATACTGTGTTGAAGCCACGCCAAAGCAAATACAAAAGATCTGTGTCACATTAGCACTTTATTTAGATCAAGGTTAACATGAGCAGAAAGTGCTCTGTCTTTTCACTAATAGTACAGTTTAACTGCGCAGATGTAATGGGAATGGTTTGATCGTGTAACAGCAGCCAGATTCACCACTACACTTGAAGGTATTTTGTGAATGGATATGCTACCATTCAGAAATGTAGGATCTGTAAGAGTTTTCTTTTTATATTTGAATGGCAAACAATTAGTAAAAGTGACATTGTTCTTTATAACTGTGTCAAACAAATGCTGTCATTTTGAAACTTCTGTTCATCAGCATTCCTGCAAAAACAACATTTCATCATGATTTCCACAGAAATGTTGAGCAATAATAGTTAGAAGTTGTTTTTATGAGCGTAAAAGCTGCATGATGGTGTAATTTCTGAAGGTTGATGTGAAACAAAATGTTGAATTAATTATAATTTTTTTTCTTTTAATGTTTTAAATGCAATAAAATAGAAAATATGTATTATTATATTATGTGACTGCAAATTAAATATAATAATACAAGGGCACAAGAGACTTTTTTTTTTCAAAACAAACCTCATCAGGCCTAAGAATTCCGAACAATAGTGTGTATATATAAATAAACACCATGCAACCCTCATCAAATTATCTAGTAAGTCTGATATATCTTGTAAGTCTGAAATCTAAAAAATCTCAAATATTATTACTAATTTTCTATAGGATCAGTTGCATATGCATTTGTTTTGAAATGCATACTTTTGTCTGTTGTTTAGGAAAAAACTGCATGTTTTTCTGAACCATAAATATCAGTAAAACAGATGCAGCTTATCTGATAAACACAGAGCACATTGTATATATATTGTGTTATGTCATCATTTATTTAACTCCTCAAAGAAATTGCTCTTGTTAATACAGTGGAAAAACTAATTTATTATGTGTAGTAGGTTCCAGAATGTTTGAATGCATTAAACATTTCCTACATTAGACTGCAATATTCATTAGAGCCATGAGATACTGAAAGCGTGAGATATTGCGTTTTTGATTTGTAAATGATGCAACAGTTGATATGTGATACAGAATTTCCATGTTTACATTGCAAATGTAACATCCAACTAGGCATGGCATGGTATAAGATTCTAACAGTATGAAAACCTTACAAAAAAATACCTCACTGTCACTGATTTGGGATTACTGCTCTAAAATAAATTCTTTTTAAACGTAATGGGTAAAAACAGCAACTATTTCCCCATTTAACACAATACTGTAAACATGTCAGGCTTAATAATTAAAATAAATAATTGACTTCTGGGATCCATTCTTCGTACCTCGCTTAATGGTGTAAGATGATTTGGCAGATCCTGGATATACCCGGGTGCTTTCCTCCTTGTGTTGTATTTGCTCTTGAATACGGATACTGTGTTGAAGCCACGCCAAAGCAAATACAAATACAAATATATATTTATATATATAAATAGAATTTTGTATATTTTATGAAGATGCTCTCTCCCCCCTAAAAAATCATAACAATCAATGTAAAATTGTGAATTCAATAGTAATCTTGTGAAATAGTATTCATATCGCAATATATATATAGCAGAAAAACCCAATACTGCAATGTCAGTTTTTTTTTCCAATATCAAGCAGCTCTAGCTTAAATGTTAGAGGGAAATGGACATTTTTAGCTATGCTCTGTTTTAAAATGTTTTACCACCAAAAAAAACTCTCCTTAATGAAAGCAGTTTCTATAAAAATATGCTATATTTATTCATCACAAACCTCCGCTGAAGTCACGTAAATGCATTACAGTATGACTAAAGACACAAGTGCACATTGCCTACTCCACCTCGGTTTGGACGTTTTGATTGGCTGAGCGAGTTTGGGTCATGTGACCGTCTTAGCAGGTCATCTGTGTACATGAGGATCACACGCTCTACTTAAGGCTTGATTTCAGCTCTCTTCACTCTCTCGCTGTGTTTGTGTGTGAGAGATTCATCAGGAAATGTAGAGCGCGAGTTGCAGATTTCACAGGTTGCAGGCTCTGAATAGTTTGTGCCTCTGTTAAGTCGCTGGTGACAGTTTTTGAGCATCCAAACTGGTGTTGCCTGATTTTTTTTTTCCTGCTGAGAATGGAAAATCCCAAGAAGTGGTGATTCATCCGTGTTGGGAGATTACAGTTGAGCATGGAAAGTTTGCTTTTAGCTGAGACGTTTTCATAGGAGCTGCTTAGCAGGATTACTGCTGAATTCATATGACTAAAAACTGTTTAGTTTGTTGATTGTTTATATGCTTATAAAAGTATATTGAATATACACTCCCTGGCCACTTTATTAGGTACACCTTACTCTTACCGGGTTGCACCTCCTTTTTCCTTCAGAACTGCCTTAATCCTTCGTGGCATAGATTCAACAAGGTACTGGAAATATTTCTTAGAGATTTTGCTTCATATTGACACTCCCGTTCCACCACATCCCAAGGGTGCTCTATTGGATTGAGCTCTGGTGACTGTGGAGGCCATTGTGTTACAGTGCACTTATTGTCATGTTCAAGAAACCAGTCTGAGATGATTCACGCTTTATGACTTGGTGAGTTTTACTGCTATAAATAGCCATCAGAAAATAGGTACACTGTTGTCATGAAGGGATGGACATGGATAGCAACAGTACTCATATAGGCTTTGGCATTGACACAAATTGTGGGCCGAAAGAATGCCAAGAAAATACCCCCCACACCATTACACCACCACCACCTGCCTGAACTGTTGATATATAGATATATAGGATAGATCCATGTTTTCATGTTGTTGATGCCAAATTCTGACCCTACTATCCGAATGTCGCAGGCTTAGAAATTTGCATTAAAGAGCAGTTGGACAGGTGTACCTAATTAAGTTGCCAGTGAGTGTATGTCAATATATAGTATCGGTAACATTTTACAGTAAGGTTGTATTAGTTTAATGTTTTTACTAACATTAACAAACAATGAACAATACATTTATTACAGCATTTGGCATTTGCTTGTGGTGCTAGCATGTTTACACTCGGTGTAATAGTTAGTTCGATACGAACTTACTTTGCCATCTGAAGAAACAAAGACCACTGGTCGCTCGCTCACCAGCTCAGAGGTGGAGTGGCAGCGCTGGATCACAGCACTCGAGCTCGCCAAAGCTTTCCGCATCAGGCCGAGTCGGGTCAGTGACACTTCTGAGAAAAGCATTAAAGCGGACCTATTATGTATCACTTGACTAAGGGGTTTAAACACAGTTGTGTGGCAGCATGCTGGTTAATGAAAATACAGTTGTTCATTGTTAGTTCATGTTAACTCGCAGTGAATTAACTAATGTTGACAAGTATGAATTGTAATCGTAATAATGTATTAGTTAATGTTGAGCTCTAAGTATTGGTATGCAAGTATTGCTCATAATTAGTTCATGTTAGTAAAAAATATATTAACTAATGAAACCTCATTGTAAAGTGTGGCCATAATATCTGCTCGTTTCAGATTAATTTAAATTGTGAAATTATTGTTGAAATTATTGTTAAATTATTGTTATTTTTATTAATTTTTAACATTTCTATTGCACTTTATATTTATTTTAGTTATAACAAATATGGATTTTCTGCTTATTTTAAATAATTTGCAAAGGCGAAAGAAAGTTTGTTTGTTTTACATCTGAAAATATTATGTATTGTGAACTTTAATATTGATAATAATTTGATTAGATTAGATTCAACTTTATTGTTATTACACATGTACATGTACAAGTACAACGCATCGAAATGCAGTTTAGGTCTAACCAGCAGTGCAATAGCAGCAAGTGCAGGATAAAGATATAAGTTATAAAGTGCAATTATAGAAAAACTATGGTGATATTTACAGATGGATGTACTATCAACATTATAGTCAGGTTGTATTAGCTATGAACAGAGATTTACAATGAATATATGTGCAGATTGCTATTAATAATCAGAAGTGTGCAGATAGAGAAACATGATTACAAATGTATATGTACAGTGGGTGTGTACAGAGGGTTTGTACAGTCCAGACAAGTAAATCAGTGCATTGTAGTGCAAAAAAAAAATTTTGCAAATCTCAAATGTGCAAATGTTAAACAGTCCTGTGATTGTGAGGAGTATAAGTATATCATAATAAATGTCTGATGACAAAACTGCATATTGAAAAGTTTACTGAAGTTTTATGTGACACAGTAGACTGAATAAAATTAAATTAAATTAAAAAGTACAATACATCAAAATAGACAACATTTATCATAACTTATAAAAAATATTTTATTTAAAAAAAAGCATGATGAAATCTGCTGGAATAAAAAAAACAAGGCTGTTTTTCACTCTGATATTAGATACTGTGATACTGCAGCAGTAGCGTATCTTCTGTCAGATAAATGCTCAAGAAACTCTATCTGAAGGCATTTCTCGAATGCTTGCCTTTTAGTGTGAATTCATGCATATTGCAAAAGACGCTGAAAAACAGCTGCCTGGGGGACTTTTGTTTAATTTCGAACTCTCCGAGTTTACAGAGAGCCTCATGAATGTTCCCGTAGCCTCAGAGAAACAGACTTTGACTGTCATGCTGAAGTCCGAAAACACATTGGGTCTCATTCAGGCCACCTGTTTAGCGCCATGCAAACAGACCGAGCAAAAGCTAAAATAGAATATAACTGTGTACAATTGACCAATTTGCCATAAAGGGAAAAGAGCTCAACTGTGTGTGTGGAACTGAGAAAAATTACTTAAATATTTTTACTTGTTCAGCTAAATTTATTGTAGTTTCATTGTAGTTTTTTATAATAATAATAATAATAATAATTATTATTATTATTATTATTTTAAATTGAGCATAATAAAATAAAAGCCCAATTTATTGTTGGTAGGATTCTATTTTTATTTTATTTTGTTTTGTTTTGTTTTTGAATAGAGACCACATAATAAAATAAAAGCCAAACCTATTGTAGGTATGATTCAAGATTTTATTATTTTATTTTATTGTGTTTTGTTTTTTTATTTTAGTTTATTTATTTATTTATTTATTTTTTGAATAGAGACAGCATAATAAAATAAAAGCCACATTTATTGTAGGTAAGATTTAAGATTTTCATTTATTTTTTATTTTTATTTTATTTAGTTTTTTTTTATTATTTAAGTTTATTTATTTATTTATTTATTTATTTATTATTTTTTTATTTAATTTTATTTTTGAATAGAGACAGCATAATAAAATAAAAGCCAAATTTATTGTAGGTAAGATTCAAGATTTTCACTTATTATTTATTTTATTTTTATTTTGTTTTGTTTTAATGTGTTTTTGAATAGAGTATTAAAATAAAATCCAGCCATTGTATTATAGCCTTATACATGAATATGATTCCATATATTATTTATTTCAGAAAAACAAAGTTAATGCCTCTTGTCTTTTTCACAGCAGCAATCTTCTCTCTATATATGCTTTCCAGGACTCAGGCGGAGATGGGGCACACATGTCGAGGCACCATAAACCTGGCCACGGCCAATATTGCGGTTGAGGACTCGTGCAACTTCGTGATCTCCAATGGCGGCACGCAGACGTATCACCTGAAGGCCAGCTCAGAGGTGGAGCGGCAGCGCTGGATCACAGCACTCGAGCTCGCCAAAGCCAAAGCTTTCCGCATGCAGGCCGAGTCGGGTCAGTGACACTTCTGAGAAAAGCATTAAAGGGGACCAATTATGCAAAAATCACTTTTATAAGAGGTTTAAACACAGTTGTGTGGCAGTAGTGTTTGAATATAAGCAGCTTCTAATGGTAAAATTTTTTTATAATCACACTTGATATAAAAAGTCTGCAAAAACACTTTGATTGACAGTCTCCTTTTGTATGGGGGAAAGCCCCGCCCATTAGTGACCATCTCGTCCCTCATTAGCATAGGACGTTAGTCTTGTTTTTGAATCGGACACTATGCTGACACACAGGCGTTTGTAGCTCCGCCCTCTTCTGAAAATACCACAATCTCATTTAAATTTAAAGCAGCAGTCACCAAAATGGCACAATTAGGATCAAAGCTTAAAAGGGGGAGTTTTAAAGAGTGTGTGTGGTATTTTGAGCTGAAACTTCACACATACACTCTGGGGACATCAGAGACTTGTTTTACATCTTGTGAAAAGTGGCATGAAAGCTCCCCTTTAAATTTTCACTCATGCTGGAAGGCTGTTGGACAGTTCTTGTTTCTCTTTTTTGGTTCAGATGATTCAGGAGATGAGTCAACTCCTCCTGCGGCGGGTCAGGGTGGAGGAGCTCGTAACTCAGAGGTTCAGTCAACGCTCCGCACATTGGGCAGCAAAGTGGAGGATCTGAGCACCTGCAACGACCTCATCGCCAAACACGGCTCTGCACTGCAGCGGTCAGTCCATACGTCCTGTTTGGACACATCACACTGAGTTTCTGATTATTATGATATTCATTATATAATGACATTATTAGTTAGTGATATTTGTTTAATATACGCTTTTGTATATTTTAATAATTTATTAAATAGTAGTTTTAAATTGTTAAGCATTTTAATTACATTTGCATACTGTTCATTAAGTAGATATCGCAGTGTATTTTACATATTTTGGTATTCTTGTACTATTTATATTAATTTGTTTGCTTATTTTATAATTATTTATACTTATTATTTTTTTTGTCATTTATTTGTTTTATTTGATTATTTTTCAGACTACAAAACCAGCCTTAAGTGCAATTTCTTTAGAAATTGAGTTATTTATTCTGAATTCTGAACGATTAAGCTTTACATTGATTTCCACTTTATGATAGCATATGATTTATTTAGCTTAGGTACAGTTATGTGAAAATCTGGAATCTGAGACTTCAAAATAATCAAAATATTGGTAAAAATCAGCTTTAAAGTTGACTTAATTGTTCTTAGAAATGTACATTACTAATTAAAACTTGAGTTTTGATGGATTTATGGCAGGAAATCTGCAAAATCTCTTTATGGATCGTGATGTTTACTTAATATTTTAATGATTTTTGGTATAAAAGTCTATTGCCAAAAACATAACAGTGTAACATAAGACATAATGTGTGGTACTGGGTCACAAATATGCAAAGTAATTAGTCCAAACAGAAAGTGTGTGTCAAAATGTTTATGATGAGTATTTTATCAAATTTTATATTTATTTTTATTTCATCGTTTTCATTTAACAAACAATATTTTTTTATATAGGTTACATTTTAGTTACCAATAATACCTGTTGTTAATAATTGTACTATTAAAGAAAAAGTTAGCATCATTAAAACATTTATTGGTCACACTTTATTTTGATGGTCCGTTTGTTGAATTTAAGTTACACTGCATCTACATTTCAACTAATTCTCATTGGATTTTAAGTAGACTGTTAGGTTAGGGTAAGTTGACATGTACTTGCAAAGTTTCTTGTAGTCTGTTAAATGTCTGTTGAAGGAGCAGTATCAGCAGATATTAAGCAGACAGTCTACTATGCTCAATTGGACCATCAAAATAAATTGTTACCCATTTACTTTTCAACACAATAATTTGCTCTTTGTGCTCATATGTGGTATTGTTTGCTCTGCCAGGTCCTTGTCTGAGCTGGAGGGTGTTCGGCTGGGAGGAGAGACGAGTGAAAAGATTCGCCAGGTGACGGAGCGAGCCACACTCTTCCGCATCACCTCCAACGCCATGATCAACGTAAGACCACCAACCAGCAGATTTCAGTCTTAGGGCTGCATGATATTGTTGAAAAACTGACATTGTGATATTTTGTCTTTCTGCAATTTATAATAGTAGTCAACATTTGGGATTCAAAAAAGCACACTCATCGGCCATTTTATTAGGTACAACTTACTAGTACCAGGTTGGACCCCCTTTTGCCTTCAGAACTGCCTTTAAGCTACTGGTAATGGAGAGATATTGGTCCATATTGACATGATAGCATCACGCAGTTGCTGTAGATTTGTTGGTTTCACATCCATGATGCGGATCTCCTGTTCCACCACATCCCAGTGGTGCTCAATTGGATTGAGTTCTGGTGACTGTTCTGGCCACCAGAAGATGCGCACATTTTGGTCATAAAGGGTTGGACATGGTCAGCAATAATACGTGGTGTTGGCACGATGCTCAATTGGTACTAATGGACCCAAAGTGTGCCAAGAAAATATCCCCCACACCATTACACCACCACCACCAGCCTGAATCGGTAATACAAGGCAGTATGGAATCATGTTTTCATGTTGTTGAATCCAAATTCTGACCCTACCATGCAAATGTTGCAGCAGAAATCGAGACTCTTCAGACCAGGCAACGTTTTTCCAATCTTCTGTTGTCCAATTTTGGTGAGCCTGTGCAAATTGCAGCCTCAAACACAATTGTAACCTGTAGTCTGGCACCAATAATCATGCCAGGTTCCCTTAAATCACGTTTCTTCCTCATTCTGATGCTCGGTTTTAACTGCAGCAGATCGTCTTGACCATGTCTACATGCCTAAATGTATTGAGTTGCTGCCTTGTGATCGGCTGATTACAAATTTAACGAGCAGTTGGACAGGTGTACCTAATAAAGTGGCCGGTGAGTGTATATTGCAATATGAATACAATTTTAATAGATAAAATAAATAGCTTTCTTTTTGGAACGAATTGATAATTTTAGATCAATTGGTTCTTATAGTTTTCAGGTGAATGTATTGAAAGATTAAATGTAAAATAACTCTGTAAAGTCTTCATTGTATAATTAAACAAATGATTAATCTTTTTTAAAGGGATAGTTCACTCAAAAATAAAAATTGTCATTATTTTCTCACCCTTTACTTGTTTTAGTCCTTTATGAGTTTGTTATTTCTGAAGATATATAAGACGCAAAAGAAAATATTTAGAAAAATGTTTGAAACCTGTAACCTTTGACTTCCACAGTATTTGTTTTTCCTACTATGCAAGTCAGTGTTTACCAGTTTTACTATATATATATATATATATATATATATATATATATATATATATATATATATATATATATATATATATATATATATATATAGTTTTATTTGATCTATTTTTTTGTTTGTTTACATTCTTTTATGTCTGATTTGTTTTATGCGACAGTAAAACGTGATACTTCACTTTCAGATGATGTACATATTTTGCAGCCCTATTTCATTTGTGGTTATCTGTTTGGCATACAAAAACCACCGTTAAACTACTTTTTAACGATTCTCTTGTAATGTGATATCCACCCAGGCCTGCCGGGACTTCCTAGCGTTGGCACAGGCTCACAGTAAGCGCTGGCAGAAAGCCCTGCAGGCCGAGAGAGAGCAGAGAGTGAGGCTGGAGGAGACGCTGGAGCAGCTCGCCAAACAACACAACCATCTAGAAAGAGCCTTCAGGGGAGCCACTGTCCTGCCTCCATCACAGAGCAACCCTGCCATAGACAGCAAAGGTACAGAAACACATTTGCACCGGGCACTTTCTTACAATCACTTTATATCTCTAGAAATAAGCATTGTGCATTGCTGAGTGTGCCTCAAAAAGGTGAGTGGGATTGACAAACCACCTGTAGAATTACTCTTCACTCTATACGCACCGTACACTTCACTTAAACTCCATCTTACAAGGATTCAGTAAGGAAAATGATGTTAACTTGTTTTCTTCAACCTTAAAATACCTCCTTTGCACAATGTTGTTCTATTTAATCTAAACATGCTTTCATAGTCTGTCTTGGGTTATGTGTAGTATAGTGCTTCCCACAGGTTTGAAATATTCGTGCTAGCCAAATTGAAACAAACCTTTTACTCCTGGCACATAAATGGTCAACTACATGCGACAAACAAAAAAAATAAGGTGATTTTAAAACAATTTGTATTTGTTATAACACTGTTATACACTGTTCCTTTCCAATGGGTTTGTTTATGTTGCTTATTGGCATGAGATTTTGTTCAGTGCTGCCAAATTATTTTAAACATGTATAATATATGTAATATATTAACATCATCTAATTAAAAAAATATACAGCAAATGAGAAATAAATGACAGAAGAAAGGAATAAAAACAGACAATCTCTGTGAAAGTTATAAAAATAACACTAATAAAAGAGATTAAGTAGATTGTAGATTATTTAAATAAGGCAAAGGAGTTGATTAAACATTTCTAATTGTGTACAAATTTTGTGCAGCCGGTGTAGATGTCCTCTCAGAGTAAATAATAACGTTTTCTAAATTGTTTAGATTAAAGAATGATTTACTTAATGTTTCTTTCTTGCACCCGGCTGTGCATGTGCAGTCAGCTGCGAAGCCAAGTGAAGGTAGGCTTAAATAAAAGGGTAATGCAAAAACGCATACAATTAATGACAACTTAAAAAGCGAAAGCAAAAGCCTAATCCCCGACATTTTAGGAGATTTAGAAACCCCGGTCAGACGCAAGTCTCAAAAAGACGTGTCTTATTGGGTCTCTGTATGTGGTAGTGTAGATAGTTCTCGCGCACACACAACGAGCAGTACGGTATGTGTTGGTCGAAAGAAGATTTTCCTCTGGTTATTAAATATCATTAAATATACTTGGGCATCCGTTGATATAAGGTCTATTTGTGGGAAGCCCTGGTATAGTTTTAAATATTTAATATAGTATATGTAGATAGTATAGTTAGATTACTGCTCCAGTATGGTAGTTGGGTGCAGGTTTAAAATAGTGTTGTGTTCATATTCATGATTGTGTTTATCATACTTGTCAACATTGGGATGTGAAAATAAGGGATATGCCCACTATAATGAGGGATTCCCCCGACATACCCCTCTCCCTCCCTTAAAAAAAATCGCCAAATTACTAAATATGTTCATTTGGAGCGGTTTCATTGTAAATAAGCAGTTAAATGGTCAGTAATATGTTTTAAAATTATTATTAACTAAAGAAAAAATAAATATAAACATTAGCAGCAAATACATTAGCAAACAGTTCAGCTTATTAAATTTAATAGCTATTATAAAGAAATAAAATTAAGCTATCAATCTCATTAGCCGTTTCTACACTGTATAACTTGCACATTCTGATTAAAGAGCAACGAATGAATCTCTCATTTATTAAGATTTTTTTTATTACATTAAAAAAGAGGTGTCACTTTAAAAATGCACACATCTAACGACTGACGCATTCGACTGCTTTCCTAACTTTTTATGCTCATTTAAGACTAAATTAGTTGTGTTTGAAAGAAAAAAAACCCATCAAGATTGTCATCTTTATATGTTATTATTATTAATTGTGTGTGAATGTCTGTTTAAACACGCACCCAAAAGCCGGACTTTCTCTTCGCTTCAAATCGCGTGTACAGAATCCGTTTAGGAAACAGCGTCTGTTTATCATTATGGAGCACGTCAGCTGACAGTCATGCCCCATTATATGTTTTGAGGATTGTATAGGATGGGCGACGGCACCTGTAATCAAAAGGGAAGGGAATGGCGCCTTTTTTAATATTTATTTTTGAATGTTTGCATTCCTAAACAAAGCGAAAGCACAGAACAGCCTTGCGTTTAAGAGCAAGGGGTGACCCCTGGTGGTTCGGCGGTATGGGTTGCGTATAGGGAGGCTCGGCTGTTCAGAGAAAAACTGAAAATACGGGAGAAACACAGGAAAATACCTTTACGGGATGATATTAGGATAGAACTGTACAATATGGGAGAATCCCGGGAAAAACGTGAGGGTTGACAGGTATGGTGTTTATTTATGTGGTCCTACAACACACATTTTGTTCCACTGTATGTCCACACAACCAGCGGAATAACAAAATAAAGCTTGACTTGGTGTTTGGGACAGTCAGCTATACATTTGGACATGACATACTGATCTCCTGTACACATTATACGTCCTGTTTTCTCCATCCGGTAGGCTCAGTTCCAGGAAAGGGTGACGCCAGTGACGAGGATGAGGAGAATGAATTTTTTGATGCCTGCGAGGATGTTCAGGAGTTCATCACTGTACCAGCAGACCCCAAATATCACAGGTCTTTATCTGCCGCCTCCCTTTTACACCCATCCTTTTGTCTGTCCCTTAACTCCTCATTTGAGTGTTACTGGACCTAAGTGTGTGTCTCTGCCTTCCCTTTCCCTTTCCTCCTCTCTCTCTCACACTCTCTGGCTCTCTTCATACCCTCTTTCCATTTCTCTCAGGAGATCCGGCAGCAATGTCAGCGGGATCAGTAGCGAAATGGGAATGGATGACGGGACGACGTCGGTAAGATGTTATATTTGACGAGTGGGCTTCATGATGTATAGTTTCAATTAGTGCTGCAAGATACTGGAAAAATTATGCAATATTGTTATTGAGGATTACGATATAATGAGAACGATATAACATTTCCCTAAAAAAATGCTTTTTCTATTAGCTATGTATTAAAATCATTTATTTATTTAATGAAGTTAAAATAAAGGGGTAAGCGTACATTAAAGATCTGGTGAACTGCTGACAAAATCTCCATATTTATTGCACAAAGCAATGATCAGCACGCAGAAGGATTGCCTTGTTTTGTATAATTGTATTTTGTTGATTTCTCATTCTTGTTAATGTACTTTTTGTTTTTCTGTATATATATATATATATATATATATATATATATATATATATTATAAATAAATTAAATATGTTTTTTACAGTATTGTGCAGCCCTCTATGTTGTATTTACTGTATGTATGTGAACAAAATATGGGTTCATGTGCTGTTTAGATGTGAAAAAACACACACACTGACATCTAGACTTGATTTTTTTTTTTGTACAGCTGGACGAACAGTCTATGGCATCCAATCCCGAGTCTCCTCAATCCCAAGAGGTAGTGCCTGTGAGGAAAAGACGGACCCGAATCCCAGATAAACCAAATTACTCTCTCAATCTGTGGAGCATCATGAAGAACTGTATTGGAAAAGAGCTGTCCAAAATCCCAATGCCTGTAAGCTCATCTGTGTCTTCATTTAAATGATGAATTTCTCACTTATGTTGAAGAATATAATAATAATTCTTAAATCCCAACTATCAGCCTTTTAGTCTATGTATTTACCTTTTCTGTTCTTCAGTATTTAATGTGGTCATGAATCCCTCTATTGACCTTATTCTAAAATGCGGAAGTGCGCCTGTTTTCACGATTGTCTTAGAACTTCCGTTTCAGTCGCCTATGGGAGAAATGACTAGGAATAATAAACGGCAGAAAACGGTCAAACTACTTGCTCTACAAACAAATGTTTGCATGACTATACAGACCAAGTAGAATAATATAATAAGAAAATATCAAATTGCAATATTAAGCAGCATAACAAGCAGTTTTTAACGTCAAAAAATGAATGGAAGTGAATGAGACCGGAAGTCTCAAGCCAAAAAGATTCAAATGGCAGCGCCCACTCGTCTGCGGAGAATAAGTTAAATAAATAAGTTTTAATAATAACCACTGTTGTAATGTTTATTATATTGGGAAAAAAGTATAATTAAAATGTTTTTATAGCATTACTATAATAAAATAATACAAAAGTACAATTAATTATATTTGTATATTGTATATAATTCATATATAGAGTGTAGTAACATACATGTGTGTGTGTTTGTGTATGTATATTATAAATAAAATGGAAATCTCATGCATTTTGGCTGTTTAAATCCTCAATAGCTGCGGACCTGAAAACAAACCTTTGAGAAATGGTTGCAAATAACAGACTGATATGCAAAGACTGGATTTTTCAATGTAGGTCCTTGTAAACTGAGATTTCAACAACCCTGTGTGCTAAAATGCTAAATGTTTGTGTGTGCAAGATTTAAAAAAAGAAGGCAAAACTTTGTAGTACATTGTTGTAAATTTTTTTTTAAATATATTTTCGTATCATTTGTATACGTTTCAAAGTAAATGAATACCAAATAGAACTGTGAATTAAAATCAAACATTGTTCATGGTGTGTCAGTTCCTCATATGCTCTGTGCTTTCCTCAGGTGAACTTCAACGAGCCGCTCTCCATGCTGCAGCGTCTCTCTGAGGATCTGGAGTACTATGAGCTGCTGGATCGAGGAGCAAAGTGCCAGAGCTCTCTGGAGCAGATGTGTTACGTGGCCGCTTTCACCGTGTCATCGTACTCCACTACAGTTCACCGCACCGGCAAACCCTTCAACCCGCTGCTGGGAGAGACCTTTGAGCTGGACCGCCTGCAGGAGAGCGGGTACAGGTCCCTCTGTGAGCAGGTGTGGCCCTACACACTCTTCATCCTGAGACGCAGGAAGAGTGCATTGAAATCAAGCCATCTGCTAATCTCTTCTTCCTTCTTCTTTTTTCTTCTTTCACCTTCTTTTTATTCTCCTCTAATTTTTTTCTTCCTTATCTCCTTTCTTCTACATCTTCTTTTCCTTATTTTTTCTTCTCCGACTCTTTCTTCTTATTATTGTTCTCCTTTGATTTTTTTTTCTTCTCCTTCTTTTTCTTCTTTTCTTCCTCCTTATTTGTCTTCTTCTCCTCCCTTTTCATCTTCTCTTCTTTTTCCTTCATCTATTCCTTCTCCCTTTTGTCCTTATCATTTTCTTTAACTTCTCATTTATCTTCTCCTTCATCACCTTCTTCTCCTCCTCCTTCTCCTCTTTTTTTCATCCTCCTTATTCATCTCCTTCTTTTTCTATCATCTTCTTCTCCTCCTCTATTCGTTTTCTCCTCCTCTTCATTCTTTTTCTCCTTCCCCTCCTTTTCTTCTCTTTCTCCCCCTCCTCCTCTTCTTCTCCTTTTTCTCCTCCTTTTTCTTCTTCTCTTCCTCCTTATTTTTCTTCTCCTCCTCTTCCTCCTCTTCCTTCATCATAATCTCATCCTCCTTGTCCTTCATCATCTTCTCATTTTCTTCATTTATCTTCTTCTCCTCCATCATCTTCTCCTCCTCCTCCTTATTCGTCGTCCTTATTCTTCTTCTCCTCTTCATCCTTTTGTTCTCCTTCTCCTCCTCCTTTTTCTTCTTTTCTTCCTTCTTATTCGTCGTCTTCCCCTTCTTCTCCTCCTTAATCTTCTCCTTCTTGTCCTTCATCATCATCATCTCCTCCTCCTTGTCCTTCATCATCTTCTTCTCCATTTCTTTATTTATCTTCTTCTCCTTCATCATCATCTTCTTCTCCTTCTCCACCTTCTCCTCCTTCTCCTTCTTAATCTTTTTCGCCTCCTATTTGTTCATCATTTCTCCTTGTCCTCTTCCTTATTCATCATCTCCTAATTTTCTTCTCCTGTCCTTATTTATTTTCTCCTTCATCATCTTCTCCTCCTTCTCCTTCATAATCTTCTTCTCCTCCTCCTTTTCTTCTCCTTCTTCTCCTCCTCCTCCTTTTGCTTATTCTCTTCCCCTTTATTTGTTATCTTCTCCTGCTCCCTATTCATCCTCTCCTTCTCCCTTGTCCTTTATCATCTTCTTCTCCTTATTTATCTTCTCCATCATCTCTTTCACTGCCCTTATTTATCTTCACTTTCATCATTTTCCTTTTTCTCCTCTTCTCCTCTTCCTCCTTATTCAACTTCTCCTCCTTCTCCTTCATAATCTTCTCCTCCTCCTCCTCATTTATTTTCTCCTCCTCCTTCTGTTCCTTCATCATCCTCTTCTCCTCCTTATTTATCTTCTTCTTCATCTTCTCCTTCTTATTCCTCTTCTCCTTCATCATCTTTATTTCCTTCTTCAGGTAAGCCATCATCCTCCAGCTGCTGCCCATCATGCGATCTCTGAGCGAGGCTGGACCCTGAGACAGGAGATCGCGCTGGCCAGCAAGTTCAGGGGCAAATACCTCTCCATTATGCCTCTGGGTAAAAACTGTTTTATTCTTTCATCTTTAGATCTGCAATTCAAACATGTGCTGGTTTCGTTTAACAGGGAAGTTAAATAGTTCATGCTAAAGTTCTCATCAGTTCCCTTTTTTTGAAAACAAACACAAGTAAAATGTTTGTGTTTAATTACATTCATGCCTAGAAGCAGATTTTCGCACGCTGGTCTTGAATTCCCTGTTTGTTTCTGCAGGTTCTATTCACTGTATCTTTGAGAAGAGCAACAATCACTACACCTGGAAGAAAGTCACAACCACAGTGCACAATATCATAGTCGGGAAACTCTGGATAGATCAGGTCAGAAATGCAGTTTGCTTATTAAGTTATCAAGTATAACCATCTCCCCCCTATCAAAAAAACTTTTTTACTCTTGCGGTCACGTGGAATGTCCTAAGAGCGGAGCTATCAGTCCCTTAGGGGGGAGCTAACAGTTCTTTAGGGCGGAGCTATCTGTCATTTTGGGCAGGACTATTAGTTCTTTAGGGTGGAGCTATCAGTTCGTTAGGGTGACGCTATAAGTAATTTAGAGTGGGCCTATCTGGTTTTTGGGGTGAAGCTATTAGACCTATAGGGTGGAGCTATCAGACCCATAGGGTGGAGCTATCAGACCCATAGGGTGGAGCTATCAGACCCATAGGATGGAGCTATCAGACCCATAGGGTAGAGCTATCAGTCATTTAGGCCAGGACTATTAGTTCTTTTGCGCAGAGCTATCAGTCCATAATGTTAGGTTCTTTAGGACATAGCTATCAGTCCTTTTAGGGTGGAGCTATCTGTTTGTTAGGGCGGAGCTATCCAGTTTTCAGTCAATTAGAATGGAGTTAAGCTGTGGTCACAGAGTTTTAGCGTGCGATATTCTGTCGTGCGGCGCTGCAAAAAGGGGCGGGATTAAACCAGCTTATTAGACATTTTTAAAAGCGAGCGATTTGTTCCATGTTATAAATTTCTGTCCAGAGAGGTCATGTTTTGATCCTCGATTGTTTTCACGCAGTCAAGTGATGCGATTTCGCAGGTCAGAGTTCACCAAGCTTGAACTTTCCACCGCAGCAACTTGCAAAACTTGACGCATGACCCCGCGTTTCCGGTCTGACGCATTTGCGTGCGTATGAATGGAAGTCAATGGGAGGAAAAGCCCAGTGTGACCACAGCTTTATCAGTTCATAAGACTTGAGCTATCAGTCTTTTTGGGTGGAGCTATCAGTCCCTTAGGGTGGAGCTATCACTTTAGGGTAGAGCTACAAGTCATTTAGGGAAGGGCTATCAGTTCGTTAGGGAGAGGCTATTAGTCATTTAGGGCGGAGCTAACATTTTTGGGGGCGGAGCTATCAGTCTTATAGGGAGGAGCTATCAGTCTTTTAGAGTTGAGCTAAAGGGCTATCAGTTCTTTAGGGCAGAGCTGTCAGCCATTTAGGGCGGGTCTATCAGTTATTTAATGCGTATCAGTTTTTTTAGGGTGGAGCTATCAGTCCCTTAGGGTGGAGCTATCACTTTAAGGCAGAGCTATAAGTCATTTAGGGAAGGGCTATCAGTTCGTTAGGGAGAGGCTATTAGTCATTTAGGGCAGAGCTAACTTTTTGGGGGCGGAGCTATCAGTCTTATAGGGTGGAGCTATCAGTCTTTTAGAGTTGAGCTAATAGTCATTGTGGACAGGTTTTTTTAGGGTGGAGCTATTAGTCCTTTAGGGCGGGGCTATCTGTCTTTTGGGGCAAAGTTATCAGTCAATTAGGGTGGAGCTATCAGTCCATCAGGGTGTAGCAGAGCTATTAGAGTGTGTCTTGTTTCTGCTCTGCTCTGCCTTCATTCATTTATCTCTTTACATTTTGTTAGCAACACTATTTCGACCATCCAAACGGTCCCCAAAGGGCGAAATCATGCATTGCCTACGTTTCTGGTCTCATTTTAGGGCTGTTTCAAGTGGATTTTTCTCATGATAAAGAAATAAAAAAGTTCAATTCCATCTTCTGTTTCAGGACGACTTTAATTGTATTTGCTATTTAATTTTGAGCAATCAACCAGACCTAATTACATTACATTACACAAATATAGTCCTGAAAGTGCAAAATCTATAGTAACCTACAGCATTTGACTGTATACATAAACTGTGTTTCTCTCGCCTCAGTCAGGAGAAATAGACATCGTGAACCACAGAACGGGCGACCGCTGCCATCTCAAATTCGCCCCATACAGCTACTTCTCCAGAGACGTGGCCAGAAAGGTGAGTCAGCAGCCACTCCACTCACTTCTTTTTCCCAGAATGCAGATGTGCCCGTTTTTTTCCTCTTTCATTCGTCACGCTGTTTGTGACCGTTCCGTCCTTCTCTAATTCACGTCTGCTTTCGCTTCCTTCTCGCGCAATGCTCTCTGCAGGTCACAGGGGTGGTGACGGATAAAGATGGGAAAGCACACTATGTTCTGTCCGGCACGTGGGATGAGAAGATGGAGTGCTCTCGGGTCATGCAGAGCAGTAGAGGAGGAGAGAACGGAGCCGATGGACGACAGAAAACCGTCTATCAGACACTCAAAGCCAAAGAGCTGTGGAGGAAGACACCGCTGCCGTAAGATATGCTCTGATCAGATGCTGTGCCATTTCAGACCCTCCTTTTCTTAAAAAAAAGGCACTAACAATGGAAGTGAATGAGGCCTATTTTCCCTATTTATTTATTTAGTTAGTTAGTTAGATAGTTTGTTAGTTTGTTAATTAGTTTCTTTTGGAATTTTGATTTAATATTTGATAGCAAAGCAGTCATACATTTTTATATTACAATTTTGGTGTTCTGTAAAATAAATAAATTAATTAATTGCATGATTATTACTTATAATTTTTAGTGTAATAGTATTATTACAGCAGTTACACATTTTTTTTAAAGATTGACACTAAAACAAATAAAACATTTGACCAAAAAGTTTTATATAATAGTAATATAATTGTTGATATTAATCGTGGGGGAAAATAGTTTCCCTTTTTGTTTTTTAATCACATGCCTGATATTAATGCAGGTGCTTTTATGTAATTTAAAGCTTTACATTTCTTCCTTAACATCTAATTTTTAGTTTTATAGTTTAGTATTTGTAATTTGTGCCAGTCAACATTATTATTTCATCTGAGCCTAACTTGTATTGAGCCTGGGATTATCCATTAATTAATAAATAATAATTAAAACACATATCTAAGACTTTAAAGGGGATCTATTATGCAAAAACCACTTTTATAAGGGGTTTAAACACAGTTTTGTGGCAGCAGTTCATGAATATAACCAGCTCCTAATGGTAAATATTTATTAAGTTATACTTTTACAATCACACTTGCTAAAATGAGTCTGAAGAAACACTTTGATTGACATTCTCCCTTTGTGTGTGTCTTTAGAGGGGAAAGTCCCGCCCATTAGTGACCATCTCTCCCTCATTAGCATGGGACGTTCGTCATGTTCTTATATCTGCCACTATGCTGACACAGGCCTCTATACCTCCGTCCTCTTCTGAAAAGAGCACAATCTCATTTGAGTTTAATGCGACAGTCATCAAAATGGCACAATTAGGATTAAAGGCTTAAAGAGCAGTTTTAAAGAGCTACAAAGATTCTTTGTGTGGTATTTTGAGCTACACACACACACTCTCGGGACATCAGAGACTTATTTTACATATTGAAAAAAAGGAGAGTAATAGGTCCCCTTTAAAGCAATGTTGGCATTACCTAATCAATATTTATGAACAGCGGTAGGCGTGGCTTAGAATACAGCGAGTGCACAGAGTTCTCTTTGAATCCAGCAGATTTTTATTTATTTTATTTACTTTTTATTCATTATTTTTTCATTTACACAACAACCCCCTCCCCAACAATTTTACCTCTTACAGATGAGGAAATAAAAAATATTTTAGGAAGAAAATAAAATATTAAATAAGAAAAATAATACAAAGTTAGTGAATAAATAAAGATTAATGCCGTCATAAATTATTTTCAGGAGACAGATTTGAACAGAATCCAGCTGATTTTTATTTTTTAGAAACAATTTTTTATGATAAAAAAAATACAGAACATCCACTTCGCCAAGAATGTATGAGGGAATAAAAACATAATAAAAGCATAATAATAAATAATAATAATAATATAAAAATAAAACAAAATAATACAAAATATTTAAATATTAATGACATTAATATGCATTTATTTTGTATTATTTTCTCATTTAATTTTCTTACTTTATTTTGTATTTAATTTTTATTCATGATTTTTAATTTGTTTTTACAGAACAACCCTTTCCCCAACAATTTAACCCCTTACAGATGACAGAATAATAATAATACCAAATAAATAAAGATGAATGCCTAATAATCATAAACATTCCTTTGGCTTAGTCACTTTATTAATCTGGGGTCGCCACAGCAGAATAAACCGCCAACTTATCCAGCATATGTTTTACACAATGGATGGCCTTCCAGCAGCAACCCAGTACTGGGAAACATCCATACACACTCATTCACACACACACACTCACGCACACACACACTACGCCAAATTTAGCTTATTCAATTCCCCATAGCACATGTGTTTGGACTCTGGGGGAAACTGAAGCACCTGGAGGAACCCCATGCCAACATGGGGAGAACAAGAAACGCCAACTGACCCAGTCAGGACTCAAACCAGCGACCTTCTTGCTGTGAGGGGACAGTGCTAACCACTGAGCCACCATGTTGCCCCATCATTAATATTCATTCAATCATTTTCTTTTCGGCTTAGTCCCTTTATTAATCTGGGGTTGCCACAGCGGAATGAACCGCCAACTTATTCAAGTTCTACGCAGCAGATGCGCTTACAGCTGCAACCCATCACTGAGAAACATCCATACACACTCATTCACACACATACACTACGGTCAATTTAGCCTACCTAATTCACCTGTGCAACATGTTTTTGGACTTGTGAGGGAAACCAGAGCACCCGGAGGAAACCCACGCGAACGCGAGGAGAACATGCAAACTCCACACAGAAATGCCAACTGAGGCTCGAACCAGCAACCTTCGTGCTGTGAGGTCAACGAGCTACCCCCTGCGCCACCGTGCCGCCCATCATTAATATTAATGTTGTATAATGAATAATATTAATAATGATTAATAATAAATTATTTTCAGGGGACACTTTATGTACAGAATCCAGAAGATTTCTCAACACTCACTAAAAAAAGGTTCTCTACATTTTCAGGGAGGGCGCTGAAAACATGTACTACTTCTCAACGCTGGCGCTGACGCTAAATGAGCCGGAGGAAGGCGTCGCTCCCACGGACAGCAGAAAGCGGCCGGATCAGCGTCTGATGGAGCAGGGCCGCTGGGAGGAGGCCAACGCTGAGAAACAGAGGCTGGAGGAAAAACAGCGCACGGCCCGAAGAGAGCGAGAGCGAGAGGCCAACCGCTCCGCCAACCCTGAGGAGGGTAAGGAGCCAGCGGACGGCGGTAAACTCTCATTTTATTATCATTCTCCTCGTCTCTTCTTCTTCTTCCTCCTCCTTCTGCGTTCACTCCTGTGTGTGTATCTCTGTCTTTCCCTCAAGCTCTCATTGAGGACTCCATATCTGACTCGCCTCTGAAAAGCAAGTACTCCTGCTCTACTTTCCTCTTTTTGATTGTCCTCTTCTGCATGTTCGTCCATCTCTTGTGCACAAACGCATGCAGATTGTGTAATAGAGCTAATTTGCATGACGTTAAAGGAATGGTTCACCAGAAAATGAACAATTTGTCATCATGTTTCAATTGCGAAACAAGTGAAGCTTGTTTTTTATGATCGACGAAAGGGTTTTGCTAGAAACAGATTAGCCAGTTTTAGGATGGGTAGCATGTTATACTTTTATAAAGTTAAAGTTTTATAAAGTTTTTTATAAAGTTTACTTGCGTTTTAATTTTTTTTTCCTATTTTTTTTTTTATTATTAAATTTTTTTACATTTTTATTAATATAAATTTTCTACAATTTTATTTTTTTAAATCATAGTTTGTTTTTTTGTCTCTTTTTTTCCCTTTTTATATATTTCTTTATGAAAATACTTGGATTTTTTTTTTCCCCAAAATATTTTTTTCAGTTTGCAATTTTTTTCATATATATATATATATATATATATATATATATATATATTTTATTTTAGGCTAAAATGTACTTTTGAAATATATATATTTTTAAACTTTAAATATTTTATAGTTGTAGTTAGTAACATAAAATTGTCTGTTTGATTAATTATTAAACTAATTGTGTTTGTCCCAAAATAAATGTTTAAATGTGCACCTTTTTTTAGATTTTAGTTATACATTTTTTTAGATATTACATATATTCTTAACTTCATATATTTTATTTGTTATTTATTTAAATTAAAATAACTTTTTTAATAATTTTAGTTACTTACCAAATAATTGTTGTCTATTTTTTATTATAATGATTTTATTATAATTATTTTGCCAAAATACATTTTTAAACTTTCACTTTTATTTTAAATGAAAATATTTAACATTTATTTTAATTAAAATAACTTTTTTTATTTTAGTTTGTAATAAACAACTAACCTTTTTTTCATTCTTATTTTGTTTTTTAAGGCAAAATGTACATTGGTACAACTTAAAATATTTTATTTAACATTTATTTAAATTAAAATAAATATTTTGATAATTTTAGTTAATAACAAAAAAAGTCTTTTTTTTAAATTAAAATACCCCCCCCCCCCCCCCACACTTTTTCATTTTTATTTATTTTTATTTTAAGTCAAAATTTACTTTTTCATATTTTTATTTATTTTTACTTTAAACATTTGATTTAACATTTATTCAAATGGGGACACGGTGGCTCAGTGGTTAGCACTTTCGCCTCACATTAAGAAGGTCGCTGGTTCGAGTCTAGGCTGGGCTAGTTGGTGCTTCTGTGTGGAGTTTGAATGTTCTCCACGTGTCGGCGTGGGTTTCCTCCGGGTGCTCCAGTTTCCCTCACAGTTTAAACACATACGCTGTGTCAATTGAATAAGCTAAATTAGCCGTATTGTATGAGTGTGTGTGTATGAATGTGTGTATGTATGGGTGTTTCTCAGTAATGGGTTGTGGCTGGAAGGGCATTCGCTGTGTAAAGCATGCTAGATAAGTTGACCGTTCATTCCTCTGTGGTGACCTCGGATAAATAAAGGGAATGAGCTAAAGGAAAATAAATGAATGAACAAATTTTTTTAAATGAAAATAAATACTCTAATAATATTACTCACTCTTGCTCCAATGTGACAAGTACCATCAACCTCTGTTATACTGTTTATCTTTTCTCTTCCGCTTGTAAATAAGTGATATTAATTAAGCTTTGGATGAACATGAGGGTGAACAAACGATGACAGGAGTTTTATTTTCGGGTGAACTATCACTTTAGCATCCAGGATCACTTTCCCCGCCTTCATTATGCCATTCACTCATTGTATTCTTTCTTTTTTGTCTTAATTTGCATCCCCACTTTTGTTAATTTTTGGCTGCTCGTCTCTGCACTCTGATCAGCTGAAGAAGTCGAGATTGCCACTGAGCCTTCTGAGACCACTGACAAAAGCAAGTACCATCCCATCCCTCTCTATAATCACTCCATTTCTCACGTTTATCGTCAAATCATCTTCATGTCTTCCCATCTGTCTGTCCTCCGTCAGCCGACACAGACGAAACCTCCTCTGATCTTTCACTCTCAAGCAAGTAGCAGAAGCAACACAATCATTGATAACTCTCTCTAGTGTTTTACTCTGTGTTTACATGCTGTTTTCACACTCGATGTGATTTCTTGGTATAAAATCAGTTCTGATTTCACCCTCTGTGTGTGGATTTTGCTGTAAATTCAGAATTGATGTACAGTTGAAGACACAATTATGAGCCCCTCTGTGAAATTTTTATTCGTTTTCATATACAAAAGTATTTTTTATTTTTTTTAAACGGGAAAAGAAAGTATTTTTTTTTGGTATTTTCGATTATATTTTTCTTCTGGAGAAAGTTGCTTTTCTTTTAGTTTGGTTGGAATTAATTAAACATTTTAATTTTTTTCTTAAACTGTAATGGTCATTATTATTACAAAATTACAAATTAATAATATTCAGGCCTTAAAAAGTCTTAAATTGACTGAAATATGTGAAGCTATTGATCCAATACTCATTCAATCACTCTTAGAACAGTATGTTGTGCATACATTTAGTATTTAAAGAGTTTTTCATGTTGTTAATTATGTTTAATGTAGTGTGTATTTATATAGTGCATTTATTGTGTATGGCCATACACCCAAAGCGCTTCACAACGTCCCTTTAAAGGCTAATTTATACTTCTGCGTCAAACACCAGCGTATGCTACGGCGCTGATGCATAGCCCTTCGCCGTGACCGTCACTGACGTACACCTTTCAAAAAATGTAACTACATGTCGCAACAACGTGTAGCGCATGCTCTGTTATTGGTCGGCTTGGTAGCACTGACGAGGCGGGGCGGGACAGAGAGCCGCGTGAATGGCATGAACCCAATGTAGCGATTGTTTACAAGTGTGGAGTCCCATGAAGGAGCTCCGGATGGAAAGTTTTGTTTTGTGTTTACGTCATAGTTAAAGTTGCTGCACGTCCGCCGGTTCCTGCCTCAAAATGAGCGAGTTTGAGCAACTTGTACATCCCGGAAGTGTTCAGGAAAAGCAAAAATCAGCGAAGAAATCCGACACAGAGGAACATTTACACCTCACTGCCAACTAGCGTTTCGGAAGTGTTAATGCAGACCAACAGAGACCGCGCGCAGAAGTATAAATGCACAGCCACGCGCGTTGCATGCGCCGTGGGTTACGCCGGTCACTTGACGCAGAAGTATGAATCAGGCTTAAGACAATTCATTTCACTGGGCGACCACCTTTATACACACCTCTCAAGCAGTATGTTTGGGCATTTTGTCTGATTAGGAAAGCATCAAATTCTTCAAAACTTACAATTACATTACATATTTGAAATCACCAATAAAATGATACAGCAACTGTCCCATTAGTTTTCTAAACAGTCAAATCAAACAAAATCTGCATATTTTCAGGTTGCCTGAGCTAATATGCATGCGCACTCAAAAGGAACGAGATCACGACACCAACCTCATTTATGGTCATGTTAAACATTTTCATCCTCTGGATGATGATCGTCAGATCGCGCTTGGTCTTGATGGCGAATCTCCTCCAGAAATGACAGCGTCTCTTTATTTACAAGTTTGTGGGCGTTTGAGTAGTTGCTGTCATGTGATGTGCATTTGACTGGACAAACTGTACCTCACATTTGTTTACAGATTACAAAACCAAAATACTTTTGTTTTTAAGTGTAGTTGGTTCAATTAAAAGTACAGATGTCAAGCTTTATGTGGATATATTTCTTATGTCTGTAAAGTTAGTATTCGCTGAGATTTCAGTGTGTTGTTGGCCACCAAACTGTTGTATAAGCACACATCTGGTCCGAGCTTCTCCCCCAGATAAACGTCAGTCTATAGCGGACGATGATTGGCTCCTGTACTTTAAGGCGGGGCTTCATTCATCATATGGACCGGTACACTTTTCCCTATTCAAAACTTTACCATTGACAAATCTTGTGTATTCTAAAGTGTTTGTTAATAATTAGTTATTACAACTATTGTTTAAAAATGTGTTCAAAATCTTTGTTTTACAGCACTTTAGAAATATTGGAAAAATAATTAATTTCACTGGAGGGCTAATAATTTTGTCTTTAACTGTAATAGCATTTCTTTTTTCTTTTTTTAACTCGTCTTGCTTTTTCAAAGTAACATAAGTGTGAAAACGCAGTCATAAACTAGTCAGCAGGTTATTGCTTTCTTTAAATGTATTGGTTATTTTTAAATGATGCTTATTTAAACCAGCGTTTTAGTTCAGATGCCACTCCATATACTGTACAGCTATGGGAAAAACCAAGAGCCCACTTGAAAATTTAGTTTTAATTTTGTGATTTATTGTGTTGTGATTGAATGAAATGTAGTTTGTGTTGAATTCTGTTAACTACTAATGCCATTTCTTCCAAATTTAAAATAAAAATGTTGTCATTAATAGTATTTTTTTTGTAAAAATATAAAAAAGGAGCCATGTTTATGGTCATTTTTAGACAAAACGATATAAATGTTTTACCAGAAGAGTAAAGAAACAAAATTTGGTGGAATAACAAAATAAATAGTGCTATAAAAACAATAGTTTTATTTGCATTATTATTATTTGAATAATTTCTGAAGACATTTTATCAGACCTTTATAGAATAAATCAAATGTCAACGATTGTTCTCATTTTAATTCTCATCTCTCTAAATCAAACCCATAGATCATAAATACAATAAATCCAGCATTTTCAAGTGCTCTCTTAATTCATTTCCAGCTGTGTTTACCGTCCACTAGTGGGCAGTGTGAACGTACAACTGCAGCAGTGAAGACTTTATCATATACATAGATTAGAGTCAGTGTTGAAGCACGAGTGTTGAAGAATACTTTCATTTCCTCAATTCACTCCTCTTCTGCATGCTAACATCTCTCTCACTCCTCTTCGTTTCCTGCATCCCTCCATCTTCAACTGTGTTTTTCTGCAGCTGAAACACTGCATGGCTCACACCCACCCTCATACTCAAGCAAGTATCACACACACAAACACACACATGGTTTACTTAGAAAACCATCTGATTTAAAAACGCAGCATATGCACAAAACTGGGCTAGAAACATGCGTACGCCTATTCTCATGCAAATGTTGTGATCTATAAAAAGCAAACTTGCCAGGATAATGTGTGCAGCTGTAAGTAAACTCTTCAGTACTCATATTCAACTTAAACATTGACTTAATTTGAGCCAATTTAATAATCGTTTTTTTTCCATTTATTCTGGCATATGTTCACGGTTTCAATGCAATATTTTCTAAATGAGACCCCAGGTTATTACTGTTTCAGTTTTTTAATCCACATTAAGGCACAGTGTACATTAAAGGGCACCTATGGTGAAACATCTACTTTCCAAGCTGTTTGGACGGACATGTGTAGGTATAGTGTATAGACCATCATATTGGGGTGATATAAACACACACAGTCCTTTTGTTCAGTGAGTTGTGATGTTATGATGGGGTTGAGGATGAAATTAGGATTAGATTTGAATGACAAATTGAGTGTCAATCAGACTATGGGGTTTTAAAATGGTACATTGATGAGAACTAACCTGTTTTTTTTATCTAAAATTTGAAGTTCTTGTTTATATATTAAAACTGTAGGCTTTGTATTCAATGTGCTAAGACCTTAACAGCAGACGATTTACAAATGGTGTTAGTCCAAACACAGAGTTTATAGACCCTTAAACCATATTACCACAGAGACTGCACACATTATACACCCAGCCATCATTTTATACAAAAACAGTGTGTGTGTGTGTGTGTGTGTGTGTGTGTGTGTGTGTGTGTGTGTGTGTGTGTGTGTGTGTGTGTGTGTGTGTGTGTGTGTGTGTGTGTGTGTGTGTGTGTGTGTGGGTGTGTGTGTGTGGGTGTGGGTGGGTGTGTGTGGGTGGGTGGGTGTGTGGGTGTGGGTGGGTGGGTGGGTGTGTGTGTGTATATATATATTTATATATATATATATATATATATATATATATATATATATATATATATATATATGCATTAGAATATAGGAGCATCACTTATTGCTATATAGCACACAAAAGGTTTTGCGTTTGTGAGCTTAAAGAAGAGACCCTCACTGTCTCACTATCTGCTCTGTCTTGCTCTAGTGGAGGGTCCGTATGGAGCTCCGGTCAAAAGCAAGTAACATCCGCACACAAACCCCCTCCAGCCATCTCTCTATCACCTCTTTTAGGGCTGGGCTTTATGATCAGACACCAAATTGCGGTTTAAACTAAAAACCTGATTTGTGCCACTCACATCTAGCATGAGCTTGTAAAATTGTTTACAATACATGTATGTTTTGATTTTTTTCATATTAATATTTAATGAGAAACGCATGGATCAGATGTGAACGTTTTCAGGCATCAGAACTAGCAAAAACAAAGCAGAACAAAATTATTTGTCGTTATTGTATACTGTATTATATACAGTTGAAGTAAGAATTATTAGCCCCCCTGTTTATATTTTTTAACGGAGAGAAGATTTTTTTTGACACATTTCTAAACATAATAGTTTTAATAACTCATTTCTAATCACTGATTTATTTTATCTTTGCCATGATGACAGTAAATAATATTTGACGAGATATTTTTCAAGACACTTCTATACAGCTTAAAGTGACATTTAAAGGCTTAACTAGGTTAATTAGGTTAACTAGGCAGGTTAGGGTAATTAGGAAAGTTATTGTATATCGATGGTTTCTTCTGTAGACTATCGGGAAAAAATAGCTTAAAAGGACTAAAAATTTTGACCTTAAAATGGCTTTAAAAAAATATAAAACTGCTTTTATTCTTGTCGAAATAAAACAAATAAGACTTTCTCCAGAAGAAAAAATATTATCAGACATACTGTAAAAATTTCCTAAATTTATTAATCATCATTTGGGAAATATTTAAAAAAGGGGAAAAAAAATCAACGGGGGCTAATAATTCTGACTTACACTGTATATACACATTATTGATGTTATACAGAAGACACATGCTGAAATGTCATTCAGTGTAGCGATAATTTATGTATCAATAATCTTAATTGATATTAATGATAATTAATGTAATAATACAAATATTATACAATTTAATATGATGATTTTTATTTAAATTAAATTACAGGTCAAACTAAGTGTTATTTAAATTTATTATAATTTCTGTTATGCTAAATGACACAGATTCATCATTTCATTACTATTTTTACATCTTATATTCTCACAAGTAATTTGAAATATTAAAGTACACACTTTACATGCATTTAATATGCTTTCGATGTTTATAAAGTTGTGAATGTAATTTAATGCAGACACCGAAAAAGTTGCATCAAAACCCATATACATACACAAATGTAACTAAAATTGAGCAAAAAAAAATGGTGTGTGTGTTTCTGTATATACAAAAAAGTTTACATTTAATTATTTTTGTGTTACATCGATATAAGCATTTTTATTTTATCTAAAATATGTTATTTTACTTTATATAAGTATTTTATTTTATTTATGGCAGTGTGTCAACATTAGCATTTTTATGTATCATATAGAATATTATATAGTTCAATATATAGCAAGATAATTATTTGCTACTATAACGACAACATAACATTGTCCATTGATGATTTCCAATATAAACTGATGATCATACAGCCCATCTCTGAACTCCGCCAACTTTATTTTCCTTTATTGCCTATGTATTTTTTTGTCAACAGTGTGCTTTCCATAGTTTCTTTTTCTCAGCCTGTAGATGTGTTCAGTCAGAGATTATAAATGATTAGAGTTGCCAGGTCCTGTTATATTCACCCTGCTGTGGCCAATACAGTTCAGTCAATGTTTGTCTTATTAGCTCCTGTTTATTCTTCATGCACTTCTGTCTAGTTGTTCATTATGTGATGGAAAACACTGAGTAGTAGATGTCTGCCGGTATTAAATTTCCTTCATTCAGATTAAACGCAGAAGCTTTTATAAAGGTATTATCACGATATTGACCTAAGCTACAAAAAAGATTACTTTGAACATGTATATAATAACAGGGCTGTTATTATACCTGACAGAGTAAATAAATGTTTTAAACCAATTGAATTGGAAAAGAATGAAAACGTACAATAGGTCAATGTTTTCCCAACCCTGTTTCTGTAGACACACCAACAATACACATTTTCTGCCTCTTCTTATTCAAGCACTCCTCATTCGACTCATCAGAACCATAGACTGTAAAAGATACAGATTCATGAAATCCAGACATAAAACTGTATGACAATGTTTCAGATGACTGCTCTATAGCCTACAGCTAATCAATCTTTCTGATTCTGGAGGGCATTACAGGTCTAAAGAAAATTATAAATGATAAATTATATTAAATAAAACAAATACATTTATGGAGATGGTATAATTATGTAATTGCACTCACGTGGGAAATGGGGGGCACGTGAATGGTTTGTGAGCAAAATAAAGTGCACACAGCATGCCATATCATCTGATAATTGTAAGAAATAATTCCAAAAAGTGTAAAGCCACAAAAACAAAACAAAAATGTGGTGTATATGCTGAGTTCAGCGGCTAATCAGCCGGAATCAGCTGAGGTGAAGTGAAAAGGCTACCAACGAGACCTAGCTGTCACTCAAGTGGCCACGCCCTTAATTATGCAGACTTAATATAACTTAATATAAACTAAACAGATGTGTTATAAAAATTCACCCCGCTCACAGTTGTCATGAATATTAGCTATATGAACCAAAATTCTTTGTACCAATCGTACTTTGTTTTCTGCTGTAAAGTTGCCCATATTAACAGTAGGGTCAATAGACATTTGCTCTATTATGGAGCCTGGACTAGCGGAACTTCGAAGAATTGCAGTTTCAGTTACTTCTGTATTTGCTTCACGAGGGAGAGCAGGAGGTTGCCGCAAACCTAAAATGAGTGGTTCAGAAATGGGAGATCTCTAAAATATGTACTGTGGTGTCCCTCCTGGAACAGGGTTGGGGAAATACTGCTACAGGTAACGCTAAAGTATCATTAGGTAATGCATTGAAATAGACAGTGAGAAATAGCCATGTTATAGTAATATGTTAAAGTTATTATTAAAATGTATGATTTTAATAGTTATAAATTGAATAATAAATAAAATAATAAGTGATGTTAATGTGTTAACATGTAAGAAACGAAGATCACTTAAAATTAATTAACACTTTTGTAGTTGTCTTTACCTTGACTTAAATTAAATTAACTGCACAAAGCAACCTTTATACAGTATCAACAAATTAAAAGTCTCTAAATAGTTGATTTGTAGGTCAGATTTACGTTAAAATGTTAATGTTTGGATATAAATCACCTATGATTTCTTCTAGCTATCTGAATTGTATTAGTTGTTTACTTTAGACTAAAAATTAGTTTAATCAAATAACACATTTTGATTTGAATGCATTATTATCTGGCATTAACTAAGAAATCACCTAATGTTTCGTAGTTGTCTTTAAATTGACTTTGATTAAAATAACCAGTGTAACAAATGCAAATTTAATAAACAGTGTCAACAAAATAAAGTCCTATAAATAGTCAATTTGTAGGTCAGATTAACGGTAAAATGTTAATGTTTGGAGATAAATCACCGATGATTTCATCTAGCTATCTGGATATTATTACTGATTAACTTTAGATTAAAATTGGTTTAATTAACAAATGTTGATTTTATTGCATTATTATCAGGCATTAAACTAAGAAATCACCTAATGTTTTGTAGTTGTCTGTACATTGACGTTAATTAAATTAACCAGTGTTAACAAATGCAACCTTACTATACAGTGTCATTGAATTAAAGGCCTATAAATAGTCAATTTGTAGGCCTAGTTAACGTTCAAATGTTAATGGTTGGATATAAATCACCTATTATGTCTTCTTGCTATCTGACTTTCAGTTATTAAGTTTAGATTAAAATTAGTTTAATTTAATAACAAATTTAGATTTGAATGCATTATTATCAGGCATCAACTAAGAAATCAGCTAATGTTTTGTAGTTGTCTTTACATCTATCTTAATTAAATTAACTGATGTTAACAAATGCAACCTAATATCAGTATCACCATATCAATGAGTTAAAGGTCTATAAATAGTCAATTTGTAGGTTAGATTAGCTTTAAAATGGTAACCTTTGTATATAAATCACCTATTATGATTTCTAGCTCTCTGAATATTGTTAAAATACACTGCAAAGTTTTAACAATAAGTTAATTCACTTTATTTAAAAGTGCCCACATTACTGATGTATTATCACGATAATAATATCGGCATACGTCTACTGAATAGACTCGTGCACCTACTATTTAAATGACTTGTGTGTTTATTTTCCAATCAGGCGGACACCAGGACAGCTATAAGGCGATGTGGTTCGATCGGTGTGTGGATCCGATGACCGGAGAGCCCACGCACATCTACAGAGGAGGATACTGGGAGACAAAAGAGCAGGGAAACTGGGACTCCTGCCCAGATATCTTCTGATCTCCAAATCACGCACACGACCCACAACACCCTTCGCCATTTCCCCAATAAAAACAACTCAAAAGACCCTTCTCTTTTTCCCGTATCGTAGTATATCAAGATACACGTCCTCTCTTTCGCCAGCCATGTTCTACTCAGTGGACAATAAGGGACCTTGAAATGGTTTCGGGACATTCACCCGACGCCACCAAATCCACTGTGCGTCTCTTTTCCTCGTGTTCACTGGATTATTAGTGGTTCGGCTGATGCTAGCATTAGGAAAACATATCCTTTCCCTGCTCCACATGTCTTCCTCAGGCTGTGGATGTCACCTTAAACGTGCAGGCGAATATGGAGGCGTGTTTGTTTGTATATGTGTGTCTATGTGGTTTACAGGGACACTGAGCTGTATAATGACTCTATTAAAGAGGTCTCTGTAATTCAAAACACTTGGAAATCATGCTAAAGTGGTCTTTTGAAATTCAAAGGGGTTTCCTGTAAGGTAAGGCCATAAAAAAAGTGTTTCTGCTGTATAAAATACATTACGCCTATAGAGTGTCCCTGTAAATCATGTATAGATGTATGAGTGTGTTAGTAAATGTGCGAGTGAGTTAAGTGAAGCGCTGTATACAGGGTTTACAAGGACACTGAGTTGTATAATGACTTAGTTGTACTTTATTAATGTTGTCCCTGTAATACAAAACACTTAAAAAATCATACCTTATGAGGTCTTTAGACATTCAAAGGGGGGTTTCCTGTAAGGGTTGGGTTTTGGTAAGGCCATAAAATAAGTGTTTCTGCTGTATAAAATACATTACACCTATAGAGTGTCCCTGTAAACCATGTATACAAGTATGTGCGTGTTTGTAAACATGTGAGTTGGGTGAAGCGCTGTATACAGGGTTTACAGGGACACTGAGTTGTATAATGACTTATTTGTACTCTATTAATGTTGTCCCTGTAATACAAACACTTGAAAATCATACTGAATGTGGTCTTAATGTGGTTGGATTTTGGTAAGACCATAAAATTAGTGTTTTCTACTGTATAAAATACATTCCGCCTATAGAGTGTCCCTGTAAATCATGTATAGATGTGTGTGTGTGTGTGTGTGTTAGTAAACGGGCGAGTGAGTTAAGTGAAGCGATGTATACAGGGTTTACAGGGACACTGAGTTGCATAATGACTTAGTTGAACACTAAAGTGGTCCCTGTAATTCAAAACACTTGAAAATCATACTTAATAATGAGGTCTTTAGACATTCAAAGGGGTTTCCTGTAAAAGTTGGGTTTTGGTAAGGCCATTAAATAAATGTTTTCTACTGTATAAAATACATTACGCCTTTAGTGTGTCCCTGTAAACCATGTATACAAGTATGTGTTAGTAAACGTGAGTTTAGTGAAGCTGTGTATTTGTGGTTTACAGGGACACTGAGTTGTATATTGACTTGGTTGTACTCTATTAAGGTGGTCCCTGTAATTCAAAACACTTGAAAATCATACTTAATGAGGTCTTCAGGCATTCAAAGGGGTTTCCTGTAAGAGTTGGGTTTTGGTAAGGCCATACAATAAGTGTATTTTACTGTATAAAATATGTTACGCCTATGGAGTGTCCCTGTAAACCATGTACACAAGTGTGTGTATGTGTTTTTGAATGTGCGAGTGAGTTTAGTGAAGCGCTGTAGTGATCTTTCCTTTTGGTGAGAGTGTCAGAGTTGGCCTTGGTTTGTGGATTTTAAAGGAATAGTTTGTGCAAATAATAACAGCGGTTTGTTGGATGAGAGATAAAAGAAGGGAGGCGGCCCGGGTGAGTTTGTGCAAATATGATTAAGATGTCATTGGTTACTTGCCACTTGATTTTTTTTGGGTGAGGTACAGTATGCAACAGTTTTGAACTCAAGTGTTGTGACAAGCTCAAAAAACACATGAAAATAGTGTCATGAAATGGTGCTAGTTTTCAAGTCTTTTGATTATACATAATAGTTTTGTGTGAGGAATTCTACACTTGTTCAAGTTGCCGTGCTTTTTGGCTTTACACTTGCACAAATTTGCATCCTTTTTGTTCTTAATTATAAATTTTGAGACTTTTTAACACAACAAATGAACGCTTTTTCCCCCTTTATATTTTTCTGTTTTCTCTGAATTCTGCATTTTTATCTCACAATTCTGACTTTTTTCCTCTCTATTTTTCTTTTTTCAGAATTGAGACACTTTGTCAATTGTGAGGATAATAGACTTTCTCAGCATCAGAATATACTTATTTTCTTCAGAGTTTGGCTTCTTTTCTTAGACTTATGTCCTTTTTCTCGGTATTCTGCATTTGCATCTCCAGTTCTGACTTTTTGTTTCCACATAATTGCAGGTTTATGAAATTCTTACATTTCTAACTTCACTACAGGACTGCAAGTTCATAACTAAAAATCTGCATATTTACAGTTAATCAATAGACCCACGGATTTCAGTCTTTTTATCCTCACACTAGGCTATTGTAGTACTTAAAGGAGCAGTTCACCCAAAAATGAAACTACTCTGCATTTACTTACACTCAAGCAGTTCTAAACGTATGAATGTCTTTCTTCTGTTGGACACGAAACAAGACATTCTGAAAAATGTTGGGGAAAAACAGCCATTCACATCTATAGTAGGAACAAATATGACTTGTTTTTGTCAAACATTCTTCAGTTTAACTTCCTTTTACGTTAAACAGGGGAAAGAAACTAAAACAGGTTTGGAACAAGTGAAGGATGAGGAAATTAAAACATTTACCTTTTTTCATTTTCATTTTTGGGTAAACTATCCCTTCAAGCCAACAGCTTACTTGAAACCCTTGAAATATAATGCATAGTTACACCAGTCATGACATCCAGTGGTGTTTTTTAGAGCCAGTTATTCTTGAACATTCGCACCATTATCCCAACCATTTGCTTATAAGATCATCAATGAACACTAACCTAAATATCAGTATATTTCTCTCAGTATTCCATCATGTTACATGAAATATAACACACACTTACGTCTCTTGTTGTTAAATAAGTTGTTATTTTTGGAGCTTTTCAACAGAAAGTTTGGGGTTAAAAGGGCAAATAAATAATGGCATCACTTTAATATCTGCATTTACTATTCCTTTAAATCCCATCACATCTGCATAGTCCGTTCTAAGGATAGTAATTCCGATTTCTTATTAACAGCTGCTGAAATTATGCATAAAATGACTAGCGAATGTTTTAAGCGAGTGTTTATAACCTCCAGAACAGCATACATGTCGATGCTTACAAGGCATTTTCATGCTTTTTTAAATGAAAGCATCAATGTAGCAGTTTAAACTGAGTTGCTAATGCAAACTACCTGTTTATTTGTGTTTCCCTTTCGCCTGAACACACACTGCAAAAGGTGGTTATTACTTTAAAAAGCCAGTAAACCCACTGCTTTAAAAGAGACAATTGGACTTCACTAAGTAAACTAGTAACTCATTATTATTAAGTTGACATCTTCATTTTTGTAATTATCCACATTGTTAAAAGTGATTAGTTAACTTCAAATTATGAAGTAAATGTCCTGTGTGCATCATTACAAAAATTATGTTAAGACAACTTTAACAGTTTTAAGTTACAACAGAAAAACTTGATAGTACTTTTTAGTACTAGCTTAAAGAGTAAGATCAACTTGTCATTTTTAAGGCAGTGGGTTTACTTGTTTATTTTAATTAATCACTTTTTACAGTGCACTTAGTTCATCTACTTAGTAATGTTAAGCTGTTGGGTTTACTAATTTTATTTAAGTAAAGCCAGCTGATTGTTTTTTTATGCAGATGCATTATGGTCATGTGGAAAGAAGAAGAATGTCCACAAACTGAGGCACTCGTGTGTGTGTGTGTGTGTGTGTGTGTGTGTGTGTGTGTGTGTGTGTGTGTGTGTGTGTGTGTGTGTGTGTGTGTGTGTGTGTGTGTGTGTGTGTGTGTGTGTGTTCCAAGTGGACACGTGAGGTCAAGGGAGTATGTATGTATGTGTGTGAGATCATGCGTGACGTATTTGGGGTTTGTTGTATATTCCAGTGAAACAAAAAAAAAGAAAAATCGCATTTTATTTTCAAGTGTACTTAAAACACATGCGTGGAAAAAAAAGACGAAAATACAACAGTTTGCAAAAAACATTGCAAATATTTGTGTATATATAAATATATATATATCAAATAATGAAGACGAATATTAATACCAATTCTTCTAATGCTGACACTGACAGCTAGAGTTATAATTATGATGGTAATTTTGATGTAGTTTGAGGGTTCAACATAATTATTTTGACTTTTATCTTTGTTTTGGTTTGTTTGATATGGGATTTGACAATGCTTTTGTTTTCCCTCATATCAAAAGCATTTGCTTATTGTTTTCCTATGGATCCAGACTAATAGACATTTTATATATGTGTATATCTATCCCGTCGTCCTCTTATTCCGTTAATGCGGCAGTGAGTAATAACTGCAGAGTCTGTTTGAGTCTCTTTTTATTTGTCTTGTTGATTTTTTTTTTTTCTTTTCTTCATGTTGTCCCTCTCTTGGCCTCTGATCTTTGTGTCGCCGCACAGAAACGCCCTTGACTGATGATGATGATGATGATGATGATAATAAAAGCTGGTTTGAAATGGATCTGATCAAACGCACAACATGTCAAGTCTGTTTGATTATTTTACACCCTGTGGCACTCGTCATTTCTGAGCCTGTGTATGAGATTGCTGCTGGCGGATAAGTTTCGTTTTTCTTTCTTTTGCTTGCATTTTTGCTGAAACTTTTTTTCTTCCTTTTCCTCCTTTTTTCTTTTCTAGTAGTATGGAGCCAGATCAGTCTCAAATAATAAATTTGCAAAAAAAAAAAAAAAAATCATACAACGCAACACAATTCACATTTCAAAAATCCATTTTGTAAGTTCAAAACACGATTTAAAAATACAAATCCAATTCATAAATTTAAAATACGATACATAAATACACAAAACCAATACGTAATTTCAAAACATAGTTCGTAAATACACAAATTAAATTTGTAAGTTCAAAACAGTTTAAAAATACACATCCAATTTGAAAGTCCAAAATACGATTCATAAATGTACAAAATCCAATTCATACGTTCAAAACACTGTTCGTAAACACAAATCCAATTCGTAAGTTCAAAATGCGATTTGAAAGCAAATCCAATTCGTAAGTTTAAATGCGATTTAAAAGCAAATCCAATTCGTAAGTTTAAACGCGATTTAAAAGCAAATCCAATTCGTATGTTTAAATGCGATTTAAAAGTAAATCCAATTCGCAAATTTAAAACACGATTTATAAATGCACAAGTCCAATTCGTAAGTTCAAAACAGGATTCCAAAACACAAATCCAATTCGTAAGTTCAAAATGCGATTTAAAAGCAAATCTAATTCGTAAGTTTAAATGTGATTTAAAAGCAAATCCAATTCGCAAATTTAAAACATGATTTATAAATGCACAAGTCCAATTCGTCAGTTTAAAACAGGATTCAAAAACACATCCAATTCCCAAATTCAAAACACGATTTAAAAGCAAATCCAATTCGTAAGTTCAAAACACGATTCGCAAATTCAAAAAACGATTTATAAATGCACAAATCCAATTCGCAAGTTCAAAACAGGATTCAAAAACACCCAATTTAGAAATTCAAAACATGATTCGTAAATACACAAATCCAATTTGTAAGTTCAAAACTCGATTTGTAAATACACAAATCCAATTCAGAAGTTTAAAACACGATTAAAAATGCACATCCAATTTGTAAATTCGAAACACAATTCCATTCATCAGTGAATGTATTATCTGGCTTCATATTGTTCTTACAGCATTGTGTTGGCAAAAATATTGCTAGATTTTTACCAGTTTATTATCCTGCCAGAGAGTACAGTTACACAATTCAACGTGTCAGGGTGAAATGCATAGACCGTATAGATGCATAGAAGTAAAATCTTTTTTTTTCCTCTAGTTTAGTCAAGTATTTCACATTATTTCCTAAGAATTGTACTCATTAAATGTTGGGTCAAATATTGACAAACCCTAAATTGGAAAGATTTTTCTAATAAAATTTAAATAACACTTTTTGGCCCAACACTGGGTTATGACGACCCAGCATTTTTTAGAGTGTAACTATGCTGTAAAAATATCTGTTTATTACACTGTAAACGATTTCTGTTGTTTTCACGGTATTATACTGCATTTCTCAACAGTTGTTTACTGTATAAGCTGTGCACAGTGTGTTACTGTATATATTGCTGTTTTCACAGCATGATAATGTATTCTCAACATTTCCATACTGTGAACATGATTAACAGTATGCTACTGCAGATTTTACAATGAATTTTGGGAAAAAATCAGTTACTGTGCATCTAAATACAGTACTGCAAATGACCATGAAAAACTCTACACACACTTTATATTTTTATTATGTTTATTTTTTTTGACAAAGTATTTTGTGAAGAAAAATAAAATAACCTATTTCTTCAGACTGTTCAGTGCATAAAGCTGTCCCCTGGTTTTCCATATTTGGGTGTACTGCACCTTAATTTTATAAGGTTAACATGAAAATATTAAATCATTTTTAATCAACATAACTTTGTGCTTAACCAAAACGTAAACTGGAACAAAAGTAATTGATTCATGAAACCAAAGTTAGCTTAAATGTCATAATGACCAGCCTGCTTTAGACGGATTCATGAGGTTAGGGCACCCGTCATCACCATGGAGGTCACATATCTCCGCATTTTCAAAACAATATTTTAAAATACCCACCATCTCTATAAATAAACCACAGACTTGAGTTTAAAACAACTACATTCCCGCATGAAAAACGGTTAAAACTAAATTTCATAACACATTCATTATAGAGCCATCTAAGACCGGGGCAAGTCTCACATGTCTAGCCGATTATAACCTCGTTTCGCCGGATACATGAGTGATGATGGACACCCTGGAGGTCAGAATCTCCGCTATCGGCAAAGCACGCTTACAATTTACACATGATATCTATAAATAAACCACAGATTTAAGTTTGTAAGAACTACATTCTCGCATGAAACACTGTTAAAATTTCATTTCGTGACATATTAAACGCAATATTTATATTAGCTGGGCTTTCTCATCCGCCATTACCATTTGCTTGTTGATGTGAAATGAATTCTGGGAGAAAAAAATATTAATTCTCAAAACACTTCAAACGAACTTTATTCGTATTGTCAAGGTCAGATATATGTAATAATTTCGCTGGTAAAGTGAATAAAAAACAATGTTACTATATTGTAATCAATATCACGTTTGCACTGGTTCGGTTCAGCACTCGAGCGACTCTGAATCGTATTGAACCGTTTGCTCGGGAATTATTTGATCACACGTGTTCACAAGCACATTCAGCAATATGCAATTAGTGTATAATTAGTGTATACAGTAAATGCTTGTGCCAAGCAGTATAACGAAATAGTAATAAATCATATACAAAAAGGAATCTGTTTTAGGCGGATTCGATTCTTTACTGTTCATTAAGGAGCCGATTCATAGAACCGAACGGACACGACTCGACATGCAGGCAACGGCTCTCCTAATTTGAAATTCACCTGTCGTCTTTCATCCAGCGAATTCATCCTCAGTAAGTGTTTTAAAGTGAAATTCTGTCCGTTAAAGGATTGTTTTATAAGTATTTTTGTGTATTGTGTGTGTAATTTAAAAGAATTAACCAAGTGACATTAGTTGTAGGTTCTTATGTTATGTCACGCTATCCGTTAACAAACGGTATTTTAAACAAGAAATAACAGACGCCAAGCGGTCATTGTAGTGTTTGCGAGGTATTAACTTAGATACAGTAAGTTTATCTTGAGTGACTTTTTGACCATACGTTAAGTTACCTGAAAAACATAACTTCAACTTATTGTAACTGCATTAATGAATTCTCTATTTCAGCACAACACTGAGATGAAGGCGAAGTCACCATCAAAAGTTAAACGTTTAACGTTACCGTTAAGGTAAGCTCTGGTCTTCACATAACGTTTAGTCATTATGACTAAGCTATCATTTTGGTAAAATTTTTCAACTGTAAGTTAGTTATTTAAACTAAACTCATAATGAAATGAGTCTTAACTGTTTTATTAAATGGAGCTGAAAATTAAATGCAGTTGAATAATTTTAAACTAACGTTAATATTAACAAAATACATATTAATTGTCTATTTCTCAATAATGTTAATGAGCTTGATGTACAGTATAGTGTGTCATTAATTGTACATTTAATTTTTGGTGTTCAGGTGTACCTGAGGTGAGTGTACGTTCTGAGTACACAGATATAAGCCAAAGTCATATCCATCCTAATCTAAGAGAAATTGATGGGGTCAGGGAATGATTTGTGTACAAATGTATTTTAACCCCATACAGATTGGTATGGTTGTACCATAGATTTAGATTAATTAATGTTAAGTCTTATTTTACTCTTATTATATTTATCTGTTTTTCAGCTACAGTAATTGATGTTGAAAAACTGATGCAACCAATCACTCCTCACTTGATTATTCAAGGTAATGTCGATGTCTTCCTCATTTTGATTAGATTTTTAAATGTCAAGTTGTTCACAGATTTGTTGTGAGGAGTTTCATGTACAACCTCTTTTTCTTCTTCCAGCAGTTCCTAAGAAAACTTTAAGTAAAAAAAAACATCTGGTGTTAAAACAGCCACGGCTATGCTATTTGCCTACCAAGTGCTGAGTAAATATTAGACAAACATTTTTTTCTATAACTGTTGTCTTTGTGTTTATTAGCAATTTTACTGGGCATATGTGTTTTTTTTTTTTTCAAACAGCCTGGAAACTGTAAGTTTAGTTCAATATGTTATTTTATGCTATTCATTTTTGTCTTAACATGGATTGCATGTTGAAGCTATCATTTTATAGTGGTAAAATGTAAAAGAGAATCACTGAATACAATGGCATAATGATTCTGCTTGTTCAAAGAAGGTACTTGATTTAGTTTTCCTCAAGCGACACATCAGTTTTTATGACTATTGCTTGACACTTGAATTGAAGGGACAGTTCACCCCAAAATGAAAATAATAGCATCTTTGGCATCCTCCACTTGTTTCAAAATAGTTACATATTTAATTTGTTCCGTTGAACACAAACTCGTATTTTTTAAAGAAATTTGGTTCAAATATGGATGTCAATAGTTACTGGTTACTAACATTCTTAAAAAATATCTGCTTCAGTGTTTAACAGAAATTGAAACTAGTTTAAAACACGTGGAGTAAATAGTGGCAAAATAGTAAACTATTCCTTTAAATATTTTATTCTGAGACTTTTATTTATATGTGTCTTGTCTTCTGTCATATTGTCCTTCTAGCCCAGATTGTGATGGACCTGGAATGCGACACCAGTTACTCTTAAGACAAGAACCGAATAAAGCACAGATGTGGAGGTATTTGCAGCCAAACTAACTGGAGGGAAGGAACCTTTAGGTAAAAGCACCTGCTTTATTTAGATCTGAAGTATTTTATTTGACATAGAGATTTATTGTTTTAATTCTAATTTAAAGCAAACAAGGTTGAGCACCCCTGGTCTAAAAGCTCAAAAATCCTGTTTCCGTGATAAGGTTAAATGTAGTTTAGAAATAGATTCATTAGGATCAATGCTTTAAAGTAAACATTTTCTTCTCTCTGTAGACCAAACATGTTTACTATCCCTCACATTTTAATAAATTGTTTCTGTTTTTGTTTCTTACAGTGTGGGTGAACATACTACCTGGATGTCCAACAAAGGCTGCACAAGAGCTCATTTGATAGCACACATTCTGTCCTGTCATCTCTGATGACCTGGAAGTGCTTCGACATCAGTGAGTAATACATCTTTATATTGTCATGCATACAGGATTTCTGTAAGCTTAGATTTAATGTTAGTTTCTAATCAGTAGTGACTGTTTTAAAAAATTAAGTATTTAAATTATTCTCAACGTTTTACTGATGCTGTGCACAGTAACGTTATGATGATTTAGTTTGAGGAAATGTCACTAGAGGGTTTGTATAAAAAATAAATAAATAAATTGTATGAAATGACTCGATAAAATGTTTATTTGTCTCGCTGACATGCCATCACTGCTGCATATTAAAATACAGTAATACGAATTGACCGCAGAATATTACCACAAACATTTCATGAAGTAGGTTAGACTGCTCTTTAGTTCTCTACTCAACTTTAACACATTTCCTCGTGTCGCTAAGCCTCTCTGCAGATTTTGCCAAAAATGAATGCTTAGTGATTACTTTGTTTTATGCAAACCAAATATCAGTAACTCATCATTAGCATTATTTTAAAAAATCACCCACGGCTTTCATGTTCTCTAACGCAATCTTATCTGTAAGTTAGAAGTGGATTTATACGTGTTAAAAGCCTAAAAGTATTTTATTAACATTAGTCACGTTAAATTAGATTATTTTTATTTATTTAATTTTAAATATGTAGCCTCTTAAAGTGAGAATGAACTGTGTTCACCCCTCTTAAATTCGTGGAAGCACTAGTAGTGTGATCATGGAATCAGATATTCGAGCTATACAGAGTCGGACATTAAGTTAAGATGAGACTTTATTTTTTACACACCTGTGTGGACACCTGAATAGCAATCTTTAAGAACAATGCCCGCTGATCTTTTCCCCATTAACGTTAGTGTAATTGTGAATTGACAAAAAAACTGTATTTCACCAACAAAAACAATTAAAAAAAACTGTTATATATATTTATAACTGTTATATATATATATATATATATATATATATATATATATATATATATATATATATATATATAAACAGCAGTGCAGTGTTTCGTTTCTGAATGAATTAAATGGTTTGAGGGATGATTAGTTTTTACTTCAGTGATTGATTTTGCCTGTCATTTTTGCAGGATCATCAGAAGTGCTGCTGCCCTTTTTCACTGTCCCTTTCCACATCATTTGGCCTTCATCATTTCCTGTCTTGTAGCAGTATTTTCACCTGTTTTTAAAATTGTAATAATTTTTGATGCATTAATTGTTGACTGGTTTTAATGATCAATTGTTTATTAGTGTTCTGTTGCTTTGTTATATTGAATTATTGCTACTGTTTTAGCATGGTTTACACAATAAACCTTTATTGTGAAGTTAAAGTTTCAGTTTCTTTATTTTTCTTGTATTTCTTGAACAGTTAAAATAACACTTGTGCAATTTTTGAACATTTTTACCCATTATAAAGTAGCACTATTAAATAAAATAAAATAACATTTAATAACTAAAATACTATACAGTAATAATGAAAGTAACGTTAAAATACTGTAGTTCTTCATGGTAAAAATGTACAATAAAATACTGTTTTCAGTTTTGCAGTATGTGTATCACTACTGTAATTGGTGTTACAGTAAAAATCAACAACAGTAAAATGATGTATTACATTTTACAGTAAATGTAATACTAATGTAATTAGTATTACAGTAATGTTACCGTTTTATGAAATACAGCAGCTACTGGATAATTGTTGCCAGTAACTTACTGTTGATTTAACAAGAAATCGTTTACAGTGTAGGAGTTTCCTTGGTTTGTGTTTCACAAGTGTCTTCTGTTTAGAAAAAGTTGTGAATTGCATTATAGGGTGTTGATCTCTGCTCTGTCGACATTTGATGTTGATGACTCAAGTTTAACAAAGTGACTTTTTTGACATTTTAGTAGTTTAAAATAATATGGTGTATAAGAAATCATATATATATATATATATTGAGAGAGAGAGAGAGAGAAAGAAATAGGTCTGTAAAATAACAGAAAATGTGCTTAGTGTTTATTACAAGGTTTTTGTACTGAGATATTCAACAACAACCTAGACAATATATCACTTTACACTATTAAATATGTTCATAAAAGTTATTTTTCTGAACTTCTGATGGTTAAAAGTTGTGGTAAGGAAGATCAAGCTCCCATAATGCATAAAAAAAAAGCATAAATAAATAGGAAAATTTAAACATGAAAAACAAAATACAGAAAACTGCTAATTTAAAGATTTTTGTTTTGTAGTGCATCACTACATTTACAATAACTCACAACAGAGCTATTTTTGTGTAAACATCATAAATATGCTATTGGTAATCATCTGAATATTTTGGATGCTCCAGTTTCCCCCACAGTCCATACACATACAGTAGGTGAATTAAAGAATCTACATATTGTATGAGTGTGTGCGTGTGTGTGAATGAGTGTGTATGGGCGTTTCCCAGTAATGGGTTGTGGCTGGAAGGCCATCCGCTGGGTAAAACATACGCTGGAATAGTTGGCAGTACATTCCACTGTGGCGACCCCTGATAAGGGACTAAGCCCAGGGAAAATGAATGAATGAATAACATCTCCATCTATAGAGAGCAGGACATGAAGTTAACATCTGTTCACATTAAAACAACTTCCCAGAAACCCCCTCCTTTCCGAACTGCTCAAGTTTCTATTTCCCGACAATGCATTCATTTTTTATTTTTTGTTGAAGTTAGTGTGTTGCAAAAAGAGTTGAGCAAATACTGTGCTTTCCTCTGCTGCGCAGTGAGACGCAGTTCTCTACAGATCATCACTGCTGTAACGCTTGGAGGAGCACTCTTCATCTGTAAGGTACAACTTACAAACTTTTGTGTTTAATAATCACAGAGTGAGCTATAATGAGCTTAATAACATGTTTTTTTTTTACTATTTGAGAAACAGAATTATAACACTATAACTATTAGCTATGCGGTTTGCGAATTATACATTGACGATTGTGGGGTTCGACTTTTTCAGTAATGTTGGTTTGTGTAATTCATGCTTGAGGGAAACAAATGTATGTATTTATTCATATTACATCTAATTTATTAATAAAAGCATTTAAGTTTTCAGTGTTTTGAGGGATATTTTGTGTATTCTGCCTTAAAGTATTCTCTGATTAACTGTTTTAAAAGTTACTGTAGGTCAAATAATACAAACCATGCATTTAATTTCACTTACTTTTAGGCACTGAATTATGGCTGTCTTTTGAACACTTTCGATGTTAATCGGGGGTCTACATCAGCACTTTCAGACTGTTGAATGAATATTTTCCTGCAAAAACTGGCTGGTGCGGTTATGCCTTCACAATGGTATGAACCGTTATAGGGGTGATCAAATGTGTATTTATATTATCTATCATTTTAATTATTAATATTATTAAAAATACAATACTATATCAGTATTAAAGGGCTGACACCCCCCATTAGTCATTTTACTGTTTTTCAGGGGACCAAACTGTAATTTTGGGGTCAACCCAATATATATATATATATATATATATATATATATATATATATATATATATATATATATATATATATA